TTTTTTTTTTTTTTTTTTTTTTTTTTTTTTTTTTTTTTTTTTTTTTTTTGGGTTGGGTGTGGTTGTTGTTGACTGCTCATTCTTGAGATGCAGCGCCATTTGCTGTGGTATCCATGGGCTCAGCACTTGTAGGGTCCTCTGTCTTATCACCCTTCTTACCTGCAGCAACAATGGAGTAAAGGTGGCATAAGATGAAATTCTATGAGAAACACAACTGACCAATGTTCTTAACCAACAAAAAACTTAATAATTCTAAAACAGCAACCAGATATCTACGCTGGTCGAAGTGGTCAGAAACAGAAAGTTTTCACATGTAACTCAAACCAATGGGTTCCATGCAAGGTGAATATCCAAGATTGGTCCTTGGTGTCAGTTTGAACACAAAAATAAACCAGTGTTTAACCGTAATTACTATGCAAGGCAATTCAAGATTAAAAACATGAAGTCTTATAAAAAAAATGATTGAAAACACGAGGTTTTCCGTTGGAATGCTAACCTTTCTTCTTCTTTCCACCACCCTTTTTCTTCGTCTTAGTGCCCAATGCTAACCATGCCTTGATTTCAGGATCATCCGTCGTTATTGTAGGCTGCAGATCTTGCAGAGGATGAGATGTGACTCGATCAGATCCATTAGGCATCAGCAAAACGGTGAATTTGATATGAGCAATGTAATCACCTGATAAACACAGAATTTAGTTATTGCAGCAAAAGCAGACTATTCAAGCTTAGGCCAGTAGGCAGCTAAGCTAAGACATGAGCAGTCTCACCAGGCTTCTCTTGAAGAACAGGGTATGGCTGCAAAAGATCATGGTTAACACATTCCACCAATCCAAGCCGAGCCCTTTTCTCTTCTAAAGCCCTGCAATTATGAGATAATAAACATAAAAGAAGTGGGGCAGAAGTGGAAATTATCGACAATTTGAAACAATAACAAACCTAGCGGTGAAAGGCATTATAGGAAACTTCTGTGTTATTTCACTGAAAATGAATCTAGAGGCTTTCATCTTTAAATGATAGTTCCTGTCCACAGCTCTCTTATAAATAGTTGTCTGCTTCTCATCCAACAACTTAGGCTTTCCTTCACCTGTGCTTGTTACAATATCTATTGAATACACTTCGTTCTCCTCAAATTCTGCTTCATCAACCCTCGTCTCAGGATTGGCAACACTTAATACAACCTTGTTCCCATCAATCACAAACTGCTTCATCTGGTGGCTAAGAACACCTTCCACAATTCTGCAATCATAAGATGCAGCGACCTTTTGAATTGCCTCGGTAACATCCTTGTTCTGGAAAATATAGCCTTAACAAATGAGTTACGAAAGAAATAGAAAAGTAAATCAGTAAAAAATTGAACATGACAGCACGTTCCTCAACTTTTCCGTAGGGTGAACACACATGGTTATCTTGGCAATACTTAGAAAAAATGAGTAAAACATCTTAAACATGTGTTTAAAGATTCACTTATCCCAATTTCTAGACATTGAAATAAAACTACTGCAAGCCCATAATACACTATCAGTGTAACTATGACATGAAAAGGCTTCGTACACAATCCATTGCCACAATAGTTGTCATCAAGTAGAGACCCTGTTACCATAGACCTTAGTGTACAATAATATGGTTGTAAAGAGAATTTAGCACAGAAAAACAATTATAAGACAACACAAAAATGAATTGGCCTAATATGGGATAATACGTTTGACTACAGATAACATGCAGCCCTAACGTTATTAGAAATGTGGTCCGAATCCATGAAGACAACATGAAAAAGAGGAAATAAAAAATCAACAGAAAAACTCAGCAAAGTTTCCTTTCCAATAAACAGAAAATCAACATTCATTTCATAGAAACTTAAATATATTGGATAATGTGTTTTGACTAGAGAAAAACAGATAAGGAACCACACTAAATTGATTTGGCCCAATGTTGAATATTATGTTTGATCACAAATGACATGCCCACCCAAAACATTCCAAACATTGCCAGATTCCTTGTACGCAACAGGGAAAAGAGGAAATAAAAAAAAACAACTGATTGCCTCGGCAAAGCTGCCTTTCCAATAAACAGAAAAATTAACATTCATTTCACATAAACTTAAATATATTCAAACATTCACTAGGTATTCTTTTTAAAAAAATCATGACCTAGATTGACCAATCAGACCCAAATGTTTATAGAAAATGACACAAAGAACATTTATATTTCAACAGAATAATAGGTCACCTTTTTTCCAGGCCTCACAAGCCTTAAGGCAACTTCAGCTGCAGTGTTAGCAGCTGCAATTACATCAGCAGCTCTTCCTGTAACGGGACCTTCTTGGAGCACATGAGTATGAGCGACAACAGCAATAAACCCGTCAATATGGCAACCCAAATCACTGCATAAAGACAAAATTCCATTAGGTCATCCTTCCATCATTAATTCAACAACTAAAATACAAAGGCATTAGTACAGCTTACATCTTAAGCATATCACCCTCTTCCATAACTGTCTCGTCGCTGGAAAGTGGTGAGAAGTGACAAACAGTGTTGTTAACAGAAATACAAGTTGGAAAAGCAACGCCTCTTTCAATCTTCTTCTTAACATTCTTGTACACATTGCCAGTTTGTCTATTAGAAAAAACAGAGGGAGCATCCAAATAAATAAGGCAGTTGATCGATTAACAGTGAAGAACTATCCAAACATTCAAGTGACTTGGATAAACGCAATAAAGACGAAGTTAACAGTTTCTTCAACTTTAAGAAAACTAGCTCTTACTCTCTAATGAATGAATCTCCTTTCTCACAAATGTCAACAATCTTCGCTTTTGGTTTACATTCCGATATCACCAACTGCAATGCCCCTGCAAAATTATCCAATTGATCACTTAAGCCTCATTTCCTCATAACATACATCAATACAAACATCAGAGAACAGAGTAACAAAAAAGAAGATATATAAAGAATGGGAGAGAGAGAGTTACTGTTGACAATATCAGCGGCGGTCTTGTATTTGGTGACTACTTCAGGAGAAGTAAGATCGAGCTCCTTCTCCTCCCTTTCCTCGTCGGACATCATTTACGCCGGCGAAGAACAATCAAACCAAGGGATTGAAAACGGCGGAGAGAAGGAAGTGAAGCAAATTAGGATAAAGCTCTGTTGTTCGATAGAGAACAAGAGGAAGACCCAGAAGAAAGATTTAGGGTTACGATCGGTGAGGCCGCGCTTGGATTGCTTTATATAAGATTTCGTTTCCAATTATGGTCTAGGGTTTTGGTTGCGTCCTTCCTTTAGCAATGATGCTGTGGGCCCCACCACATGGAGATTTTAGGTAAAAACATAATTTTGTATTACCTGTCTATTTCCTTTTATTTCTCCATTTATTTTTAAGACATGTTTTTCGAAAATAATATTAAAATTTATTAGTTTGTTCTTTCCATTTAATTAGAGAAAATCTTTTAGAAATTAGTTCCTCATTTGTATGGTACAACTTAAAACACTCTACGCCACCCATTTAAGCATAATTTGGTAAATAATATATTAATTATTATTTCATGTACGCAAGTGAACGTCTTCAAGTTCTAACATAGTCTGATTAGTAATTTATCAATCGCTTCTATCGTAATCAGCCTACATGTCATAGGCACTCAAAGCGTGACCTCGTCGTGGTTCGAATTTATAATCTCGTCATATCTCTATAGACAATATCAATCGAGATAGTTTTTTATTAGAGGTTGGCTAATGTCTCTCTAATAGGCCCCAGAACGTTGTCGTCGTCAAGGAGGGACAACCCTTTAACCTGCCAACCATCATCTGCCTATGCGCTCTTACCCTCGTATGAACATAATCGTTGTTGGATGAAAGTGTTCCACATTGGTTAATTCAGGGAATGGTCATGGGTTTATAATTAAAGAATAAACTCTTCATTGGTACGAGGTCTTGAGAGCTTATGCTCGAAGTAGACAATATCATACCATTGTGGAGAGTCGTATTTGTCTAACAATCGCAACTAAGGAATAATTAGAGATAATATCATACCATTCTGGAGAGTCGTATTCGTCTAACAATCGCAACTAAGGAATAATTAGAGATCCCCTAGTCACCCTGACACAGTACTCATATGATACTTAAAGTTCATTCATCCCAGAGCCTAGCATTATCCATACAAACTCAACATTAAAGGTATTATTGTAGACATTCATTAATCAAAACGATTTCATTATTAAAAGTTAAGTAACGACCCTACATTGTTCCATGAATCGAGATAAGTTAACGACTAAGATTAGTTGGTGAACCCCTAACCATCCTCACATAACATCAAGAATGACATGATAAATCAACCTAATCATGGATCTCGATCATGCTTACATTTGTCCCTATCAAGAATTTAAACATTGATGCTAATCAATTTACTTCTAAATGATAAGAAATCTGCCATGGAATCAGAGCCCTCCATTCCACCCGTGTTATTAGCCAAGCTCATCAACATATCTATACAGAGGTAGCATCATCCAACAAATTCAACCATAGTGCCTTTTTTAAAAAGTCAATATTATTGTTTATATATATTGTAACAGCTCAGGCCCACCATATGGACTTTTTCCTTCGAGCTTTCTTTCAAGGCTTTAAAACGCGTCTGTTAGGGAAAGGTTTCCACACCCTTATAAAAGGTGTTTCGTTCTCCTACCCAACTAACGTGGATTCTCACGTATACATATCTAAGAAGAAATTAGATCATCCATTACAAAACAGCATTCACCAACAAGAAGTTATTGATACTCCCCAAGAATCTAAGAATTGTAACTAAAGAATAAGCACTACCCAGACACTAAAGAGCTGCCACAAAGCAAGCAGCACTAAAATTTCGAAGGGACTGCCGATCTATTATGTGGGAGCATCATGAAGATGTCTCCTCTCATACAAGCCAATGATTTGATCGGCCACAGCCCACACAATGGCCTGCCCAGGTGGAATCCTCATGAGTCGGGGCAGCAGTCCTTTCCACAAAGCAAAAAGTCCTTCCTCTGCGTATATAGTTCTGATAGCATGGACCATGCCTTTGTACTTGAGTTCACCTGTGCCTCGGCTCTGAGCCATTAGCCTAGTTTTCACAACATCAAAAGGACCAGTGCATATAGGCCCGGCCGTGCCTGCTAGGAATCCCGATACCATCGATTGCCATGGTTGGAGGACTTTCCCATCCCCTTCGTGTCTGTTCCAAAGAACAACATCAAAAGCATTCTTGGCAGTAAACATGGCAGCCTGGTTGGTACCATTTCGCATAACAGTTGGGGCAGCACCAGCCCACAGCCCTAGGAGGCCTTCTTCTCGAATGATCATTCGAGCACAGTGCACTGGACCCTTATACTTCAGGAGATCAGGACTCAATCCTTTCTGTTGCTGCAATCTAATCTTCACCACCTACACACAATAATAATCACACTTATATGTTAGTCATCCCACACTTCTTCCTGCTTACGCACTAACATAGAGTCCTGCTTACACACTAGAGAATAGTGTAATGGGACAGAAATATCTCTTAATTGACCAGCAAAACCGAAAGGAAAAGAAAGTTTGAGATGAAAGGAGTCAAATTAATCCATAGAATGTAGTGGAATGACCCACAAGAGCAAGAAAATAAATATTTCATTCTCTGAGCCCAGCTTTTCATCTTACTCAAACCTTTGAAGTTGAATTTGATTCCACGACGTCTTTAATTATTGACATCATCATCTTGAGACATTCTGTAGATCGACTCTAGATACAGATTACTTGCTTAACTCTCCACTTTGGTGAAAATTTCTGACTTAATATATAACTAACATCAGAAAAAGATGCATTTTGACTTGCAAGGAGGATAATATGTTGATAGGAAGATGGAGACTGCCGGTACTAAGGAACTAGGCATTTGCATTATAAATAATTTGATATAGAGACTGGAAAACTTGGGAGTTAACCTGTTACGAGGGCACTGTTAGTAGATATTGTTCACTTTGGTCTGTAACGTATCGCCTTCAACCTCACGGTTTCAAAACGCGTCTACTAGGGAGAAGTTTTCACATTCTTATAAGGAATGCTTCGTTCCCCTCTTCAACTAAAGTGGGATCTCACAATCCACCCTCCTTGGAGGCCCAGCACACCGTCCAGCGTCTGGCTTTAATACCATTTGTAACAGCCCGAGGCTACCGCTAGCAGATATTGTCCGCTTTGGTTAAATACATCTACTAGGGAGAGGTTTTCACATCGTTACAAGGAATGCTTCGTTCCCCTCTTCAACTAAAGTGGGATCTCACAATCACCCTCCTTGGAGGCCCAGCACACTGTCTAGCGTCTGGCTTTGATACCATTTGTAACAACCTGAGGCCACCGCTAGCAGATATTATCCGTTTTGGCCCTAATGTATCGCCGTCAACCTCACAATTTTAAAACGCATCTAGTAGGGAGAGGTTTCTACACCCTTATAAGGAATGCTTCGTTACCCTCTTCAACTAATGTGGGATCTCATGTAACAATTGGGAAAGTTGCAAATAAACCAATGGATTGTGTCCACCAGCCACCATAGCTCAAGTCAGCAACCACATTGGCAGTCGCACTAGGTTTCAGATGGAACGAGCAAGAGATGTAAACCTAGGCAAATCAGATCTCATATGTAAATACCTGTATATATGTTCATAATTTTTCATTCGCCAAATAGGAGAATGAAAAGTAAAGTAATATTTAGGATCTAAAGGGAGTAACCACATGCTTAAAAGGTGCAGCCACATGCTTTCTTAAAGTACAAAATCAGAAGAAGATGGACACAAAAACTAAAAGTAACATTGGTTAGGGACAATTGGACCCCTCATACTTTTTATATTGTGAACTTCGAGCCTATGTCCTCGAGACTCTGTTTTATGGTTTCACCTAACCTCGTACAATGAAAATAGTTATCCATACGTATATACCAATGATCTTTCCCTTCCTTAGCTAACGTGGAATTCAGATTGCACTCCAAACAACATTCAATGGCAAACAATATGCTCCGTTTGATCTTACTATGTCTATGACAATATTTTTAATGTCGTAAACTTAGAGATACAGAAAGAGCAGAGGGGGTAATAATGTACCCTCCCCCTTTTGAAAACTAATTAATTCCTAATGTATAGAAGGGCCAAAACACCACTACCAATGCACCAACAAACAAGTAATATATTATATATATCCTATTCATCCTGACAAGGTAATGGCAGCGTCTTATTTGAAACCTCAATTCGCTATTATAAAACGACTAGTCTTCCATTGAAAACAAAGGCCATCGACGTGCGTTTCAAATTGATTATGTAAGCCGCCACTAAAAGGTCAGCAAAAGGTGTCTATATTATATTATACGATATCAATCCTTTCAGTGCCAACTATCGTCCACGACACGGTTTCCCGTTGTTCATAAGAATCAGCGCCCTCAACTCGACCTCGAGAACAATATTCAGAGCAAACGATTGCCAATTTCTAATTCTAAGAATTAATTTCATAATCGCCAATCTGAGGTTAATTAACTGGTAATACGTCCTTCCTCAGGAGTAATTTCGAATTCGATATTCTAAATGAACAAATAATAATGATTCCTGTTCCATAACTAAATCCCTCGAATTTGAAATTGAAGACCTGAGTTGAATTGTAGCAGATTATATACTAATGCGAGAGAGAGAGAGAGAGAGAGAGAGAGAGAGAGAGAGAGAGACGTAACCTCACCTCGAATGGAGTAACGATGACGAGAGCTTCCAAAACCCCAGCACCAAATCCAGAAATTAGACGAGCATGATTGCTGAGTTTTCCAGTCTCGGAATCCTTAAACGCCGTCTGAAGCACCGCATTGGACCCCATGCGAAGCGCATATTTCAAGGTCAGGTGCGTAGCGAAGGGAGTCAATCCCTTCCAAAGAGCTCGAACTCCTTCCGTTCGAGAAACCGTGGCTCCACAGTGAACAATCCCCTTGTAAGCCCCGGCCCGATCGAGCTGCAACCTAGTCTTGATAACATCAATCGGCTGTAGACAACAGGCCTCCATCACCCCCCCAAGAGAACCGGATACCGCCTTCATGTACGGAGGAATCGATTTCATCGATCTCTGTTCCGTATTCGACCGACGAGCTTCCTGATTCTCCATTTTCCCGGTCTCGAAACCCTTATCCGTTAATCTTTACTCCTCCAACTTCCTCTCGTAGTTCTGTTACTGAAGTTCGACCGCCATTTCCTTAAAGCTCGCCAGTAAATATAGCACCACGAATGAAGAACGAATGCTTACAGTTGCGTGTTAATGGCGGCCCGGGAAGAAAAGTTGGAACTCTCAACAGACAAGAAATGGTTCAGCAGCCAGCCTGACCTCTTGTTCCGTGCTTAATGAGTTGTCATAAATAAATAAAATAAATAAATACATAAATAACCCTCGAAGATTTTGCTTGTTCTTTAATTACAGGCTGTCCATGTCAAATAAATCACAAAGAATTTAGAGAATAAAATACAGTTGAATGAAAGTGTTAAAGTCAAAAGTTTTGGGCATAATTTTCTTTTTCAAGGTTTAATCTGGAGTGGGCCAACTTGCTTTTGGGCTTTAAATGTTTGGGCCATTGGACTCAAATAGTCCAATCTGATGCAAGCAAGGCCCAACGGCCCAACGGCCCAACGGCCCAAAATGTTTCTAAAAACATAATTGATCGTGTTTAAATTAAATTATAAATATACTATCAAATATAAAAATATTTTATTTAAATTTAATTTTGGGCTTCAGACCTTAATTTAAGTATATATATATATACTCTCATTTGTATATTTAATAAGTTTTATTACATTTTTTAAAAATTTTGTTTTATTTATTGGCGAAGTAATTTTGTGGGAAATTTTTTTTTTTTTTCAAACAAATAATTAGAATCTTTTCTGTTAGCTGACAACGAGGCGATGGAGCATGTGGTTCAGGTGAATGATGGCCATGGGTGACACGTGGCAAGCATGGTCCGTGGAAGACAAATGCAGACCGGGGCAACCTTAAATAGACAGTCAAATACCAGGTTACCCAAAACCGCCAAAACAAAAGGTGGCTCGTCATTCACTCACCGCCACAACAACCCAATTTTGCTTCTCATTTTTATTTCAACTACTTATTGACGCTGTTGACACAATGTTTCTTGCTCTCCACGAAAAAAATCTAAGTCATTTATTTATTTATTTTAATTAAAGCAATATTATTGTTTTTTTTTTTTTATTGCCTTTCCAAAATTCACAGGCTGTATGGTTTAATGAATTACCTTTCAAGGAAAAACCAGTAATGGCTGCGTTTCCTATTTTTTTAATATTTAAATATAAAAAAGAAATAATATTTTAGTCGGTATACTTTTAAAACGTTCATTTTAATAATTGTATATTAAAAAGTAACCATTTGAAAAGTTATAAAATCTGTAAAATGTAACTGTTGAGTTGTAAATGAAAATGTGTATGAAAACGAGACCAAAAAAAAATTAAAATAATTACATTTTTAAAACAGAATTATAATAAAATTTTTAAAATATCAAAATAATTTTTAATAGCTTATTTTAGTATTAATACCACTTACAACAGATGTGGTGTTGTGTTGGGACCACATAGTGTAAATATTAGTCCTTTTAAATGTTTAAAAATTAAAATAAAATATTTTTAAATTAAGTTTTTATTTCTAAATTAGGTGTAAAAAATGGAGTCAGTTTTATAAAATTATTTTAAATTATTTGATTTTGGATTATTTAATTCAATTAGAAACCATTTTAAAAACTTGTTTTCTTTTGGTATAAAACGACGCTGTTTGGAACTTAGCACGTAGGTGGGCCCATTATATTCTGCTCTGTTCCGTTGCATGCAAAACGCCGCCGTATAAAACATGCACAAAAAGTAGTTTTCCGTTTGTGATAGAGAATATCCCACAGTTTAACTAGAATATTATGGTTAATTTTCTTTCAATAATTAATATAAAATCTGTTAGTAATGGAATTTTAAGTTAATTTAAAATATTGGAATTTCATATTTATTGTCATATAAAACAGAAAAATCAATTCCAAAATGTTGTCATTTTTAAAATAAATAAAAAAGAGTGAAAAATATCAATTATGCAGCCAGATCGGACCAAAGTTAACCGATTGGAATCAGCCATCGTGGACCATTCACGATCAAGCTAGCTTCACTTTCTGTTTAAAAAATGGTTTGATTAATTTATTAAAACATTTTTAGAAATTAAAAATCAAACAAATAAATTTAAATTTATAACTCAAAATAGTATTTATAAATTTTGTGTTAAAAACTAAATTACAATGCTTTAAAAATACTCCCTCATTTAAAAGTTTATAATATGGTAGTTTTTAAACGGTAGTATTTACTAATTAAGTGATGTAAATATTTAATCCTAATATTTATGCTAAGTCGTTTTTTATTATGATTATTTAGTTCAGTATATATTGTTCTTGATACTAATTATTACCATTTTGATACTAATGGTTGGTATTCATGTCTAGTTACGTATAACTTATATTAATTTTATATGTAAATAACGTTTTGAAAATTTTATCTAATTTCACACGTCACTTCATCTATCCTCTCAAATGTTTACTACTTCAAAAAAAAAAAAAATGATTATATATAATATTAAATGTATTTTAATTATAATTATCTTTTAAAAAATATTAAAATATGAAATAATTAAACTCATTTAATAAAAAAGGGAAAATTCTCATTTAATTAATTACAGATATATTTTAAAAAGTATTAATTATTTTGGAAAATAAAACCAACACGTTTGCAAAATTTCTGTAAATAGCTAAACAAACTAATGGTCCAAAAAGAAGAAAATATTGAGTCCCACATTCTTTTATAATTTAAGAAAATTTTAAAATTCAATTATTAATTTAAAATCCTCAAAAGAAAAAAAAAAGAAAAAAAAAAAGAGTCATTATAATTTGCATAACGAGTGATTATTATTATTAATTTAAAAAATAATTAATAAAAGATTAAACATATATTCTAATCCCTAATATTTCACACTCGAGTGTTTTCTTAATTTAATTTCTTTATATTTTGAAAAATAAAAATATAAAAATATAAAAAATATAAAAAGTGTAAATTTTGATACAGAAAATCATTCATTGAACCTTTTTTTATATTTTAAAATCTATATTAGTAAACTTGTTATTTTCTTGGATAAAAAGAAAGGGTAAGGACGGAAAGACATATTTAGCCTTGAAGAGCAATCGATGGAGGATTATAATAAATTACAAAGGAAAGGACAAAAAGGTAATTAGTCAGTTTGGATTACTCGTGAAACTTCCGTTCGCAGTGATTAACGGAATCCAACCCATGAGAATCCACAGAGATCACCACGCTTTTTTAGAAACCGCTTTTCAATGTAGTAAGTGGTTTTTCTCTTCCAAAACCGCTTTTGATTATCCAGCTGCCACTGCCACCCTTCCGTCTTGTATATATACAAACCTCTTCGTTTCCTTTCCATTCCATCGCTCAAAAACCACCGTTCTCTAATTCCCAAGCTCCCATTTTCCGATTCCGATTCCGATTCTCAGTCGATGGACACCAAAATCGGCTCCCTCGACGTTAGCAAACCCGCCAATGACGTGGTTTGTTGTCCATCCAATGGCTCTGTTTCCGCCATCCAAGACTCTGTCCCTACCGCCGCCGTCACCTCGTGGGATGCCACTCTCGGCGGCCACTTGGCACGACGGCTCGTCCAAATCGGTATCACCGATCTTTTCACTGTCCCCGGCGATTTCAACCTAACCCTTCTCGACCATTTAATCGACGAACCTAGACTCACCAATGTCGGGTGCTGTAACGAACTCAATGCTGGATACGCCGCCGATGGGTACGCTAGAGCCCGTGGTGTCGGCGCGTGTGTCGTCACGTTCTCCGTCGGCGGTCTTAGCGTCTTGAATGCCATTGCCGGAGCGTACAGTGAAAACTTGCCGGTGATTTGCATCGTCGGTGGCCCTAATTCGAACGATTATGGAACAAACAGAATCCTTCATCATACCATTGGGCTCCCTGACTTCAGCCAAGAACTCCGATGCTTTCAAACCGTCACTTGCTATCAGGTACTAAAGTAAACAAGATCTTGTTCCATAATTTTAATTTATTTTTTAGAGTTCTAAATTTTGTTGTTGTTTAGGCTGTGGTGAATCATCTTGAAGATGCTCATGAATTGATTGATACTGCCATTTCTACTGCCTTGAAAGAAAGCAAGCCTGTTTATATTAGTATCAGTTGTAATTTAGCTGGGCTTCCTCATCCCACCTTCAGCCGTGATCCAGTTCCATTTTACATCCCTCCCAAGTAAGTTCTGTAGCTCGAGTGGCTTTGCTTAGGACTTCTCCCGTGAGGGAGATATATTATTTACTTATAAACTCATGATCATTTTCTAAATTAGTCCGAATTAGTCCGTGCATGACTCCCTCCCAACCATCCTTTCTGCCCCTGAGGCCTATGGGGGCCTATGAAGGCTATAGAGCTCTTGAATAACCTCTCCCTAGAGTCCTCAAATGATAATTTTCTAAATTAGCCCATGCGGGACCCCTCCCTCCCAACCATCCTTTTCACCTCCCCGATGCCTATAGAGCCCTTGAATAGCCTCCCCTTAATCGAGGCTCGAACGCTCGACTCCTTCTCTAGGGTCTGGGACCTCCCTCTCAACCATCCTTTTCGCCTCCCATGAGGCCTATAGAACTCTTGAATAGCCTCCCCTGAGGCCTATAGAACTCTTGAATAGCCTCCCCTTAATCGAGGCTCGACTCCTTCTCTAGAGTCCTCGAATAAAGTACCCACTTTGTTCGACACATGATTCACTTTTGACTACACGTTCGAGGTTCACTTGAATAGTCTCCTCTTAATCGAGGCTTGAGTCTTTTTCTGGAGTCCTTGAATAAAATACACCCTTTGTTCGACGACATTTAAGGATTCTGATACCATTAGTAATTATGTACCTTCATAATGGTATGATATTATCCACCTTGAGCATAAGCTCTGATGGTTTTGCTTTGTGTTTCCCCAAAATGCTTCGTATCAATGGAGATGTATTTTTTTACTTATAAGCTGATAATCGTTCCCCGAGTAATGGGTTCTTTTCGTTTATGAAATTTAAGCTTAAAAATCATCCATTTATTCGTTATTAAACGGTTGCTAAGGACTGAATTGGTTTGAAATTATTGAATGGATTTGTGTGATTTGAACAGAATGAGCAATCCAAATGGGCTAGAGGCTGCAGTGGAGGCGGCAGCACAATTCTTGAACAAGGCAGTGAAGCCAGTGCTTGTTGGTGGGCCTAAATTGCGAGTTTCCAAGGCATGTGATGCCTTTGTGGAGCTTGCTGATGCTTCAAGCTACGCCATGGCCGTGATGCCATCGGCCAAGGGGCTTGTACCAGAGGACCATCCTCATTTCATTGGAACTTACTGGGGTGCTATCAGTACAGCCTTCTGTGCCGAGATCGTCGAGTCTGCCGATGCCTACTTGTTCGCTGGACCAATCTTCAATGACTACAGCTCTGTTGGCTACTCTCTGTTGCTCAAAAGGGAGAAGGCTGTGATCGTGGCGCCTGAACGTGTGACAATCGGCAATGGACCAACGTTCGGTTGTGTTCTAATGAAAGATTTCCTTCGAGCTCTTGCGAAACGGATTAAGAGCAATATCAGCTCTTATGAAAACTACCATAGAATCTTTGTTCCTGATGGCGTTCCTGTGAGATTTGGGCCAAGGGAAGCCTTGAGAGTCAATGTTTTGTTCCAACATATTCAGAAGATGGTCAGTAGTCAATCGGCTGTGATTGCTGACACAGGAGATTCTTGGTTTAACTGCCAGAAACTTAAATTGCCAAAAGGCTGCGGGTAATGCATATTCAAATTCGTTCATTCGTTCGTTCGTTCATTCATTCAACTATTTCTGTGCAGATTTGAAATGGGATTTTCTCTTTTGGTTTGTAGATATGAGTTTCAAATGCAATATGGTTCTATTGGTTGGTCAGTTGGTGCCACTCTTGGATATGCTCAATCTGTACCAGAAAAAAGAGTGATTTCTTGCATTGGAGATGGAAGCTTCCAGGTAAGAATTGGTTCAATCGAGCTTTGACGCTCGACCCCATCGGAAAACGATCATCAGTTGATCATCGATACTATTTTACATTGCAGGTGACAGCACCAGACATATCGACAATGATGCGTCAGGGGCATAACACCATCATATTCCTGATAAACAATGGTGGCTACACCATAGAAGTTGAGATCCACGACGGGCCTTATAATGTGATCAAGAACTGGGACTACAAGGCATTGGTCGATGCGATCCACAACGGGGAAGGAAAGTGTTGGACGACGAAGGTGAGTTGGTATCGAATTTGGTTGGTCATTTGAGTTATGTTGAGGAGGAATTCTGTTTCGTGAACGAGTTTGTCGTTGCAGGTTCGATGCGAGGAAGAGCTTGTGGAGGCAATCGAGATCGCGACCGGAGACAAGAAGGACTGCTTGTGCTTCATTGAGGTGTTTGCTCACAAGGATGATACTAGCAAAGAGCTATTGGAATGGGGCTCAAGAGTCTCTGCTGCCAACAGCCGCCCTCCCAATCCTCAGTAAAACACAAAATAAAAGAGATCTTTTGACGCAATTAATGTTGTCAACTTTGCTGTAGTTTCTTTTTTATGATCCTGTCTGTCTTCCCAAAAAAAGAAAAAAAAAAAAAAAAAGAGCTTGTTTTGAGAGGCAACTAGAATTTTATAATTTAGTCCCTATGAATTTTATAATTTTATAATTTAGTCCCTATGATTTTCTTTTTTACATTGAGGGCATGAGAAATTTATAGTTTAGTCCTACAGATAATTAAAATTTAAAGAATTATAAAAAAGGAAAGGAAAAAAAAAGATATTAATTGCTTTAATAAGGAAAAGGCCAATATTTAATAAATTATTTCTATTTTGGTGAATTAAATAGGATGATAAAAGAGAATTATTCTTTAGAGGGTTTCACTTTTGCATCATACTGACTTTTGAAAATTATATTCCTTTTATGTCAACGCCACCAATTAAATTATTTTGTTCCCTTTCACTATCTTCACTTTAATTAGAAAACATTTTGTTTGCTATTTTTTTTTTTAATTTTGTAATTATATTTAAATTTGTTTTTTAATGGGTTGTAGAATATATTGGAAAAATAACCTTTTGGATCTTGTGTTGTATAGTTTTTAATTTCAAAATGTTATATTTATATTCACAACTTGCAATGTTGATTTTAATTTATTCCTATCTTTGGTTTTTTTGATTTAATTTTGATTTAGTAATTAAGATTTAAAATTTTACATTTTTTCCACTATTAATACTTCTAAATATTTAATAAATAATATTTATGTATAAATTAAATTAAATTAATGATGGTGTTCAATAGTTTCGATTAACATATTTTTTTATCATTTATTAAGATTAATAAATATAATAGACATAAAATTAAAATTTATATTTAATAGAACAAAATAGTCTCGTGAATTTTTAAAAAATGTTATATGAATTATTAGATATAAAATTCGAATTTACCAAAAGATTAACTTTTAAAAATATATAAAATTTGAAAACATATATTAAAAAAATATATATTAAGATCTATCAGAATTCTCCGAAAAACTAAACTGGTTGAGAGCTAAAAGGTGATTAAGAACACTATTAACTAAGGCTTCCTGAGGCCATCAAAACTACATAAACCCCCCAAAGATATTGAGCTCAAAACATATACAACCAGAAAATTTTGTATGGAGGACATTATGAAATGAAAACTACGAAAGAAAGTTACGAGAATTACCTGAAGCATTCACTAAACGACCGCCCTCGAGTAGCGTGGAAGGGAAAGGCGATTGGCATTTGGAAATATGTGTTTTCAGCTTGGGTAAGTTGGGATGGGCACTTCTGCATCTGTTGCAACGAAACTCCATAGACATCAAGCTCTCGTCGTCCTTGATGATTGCCTTTCCATGGCTACTGACTTCGTCTATAACGTCGACCGAGTCTCGGAAGAAATCGGTGTTGAAAGAATTCCAATGCTTCTTGTTCTTCAGATGACTGGAGTCAAAATCTTGGCTTATAACATGTAGGTGCAGTTGCCTCATGGATGGAGCCTGCAAGAAAGTAAACAGAACACAGAAAAGTTAGTTCATCAGAATTTCGTGTATATATTAGCCCCTCCAAATGTACTAGTGACCTACCGAGTGGTATCCGAGGCGAAAAACCAACGATGCATCGTCATGAATGAACTTATCAATCCACTTCATACCCACGGCGTGCATCGTTTTCAACAGTGGAAGGTGTTCTTTATGTACATCAGCTAGTTGATCGAGGCCTTCATATCGAGCCACTATCAGAAGATGCTTGCGTGCCTGCAAAATAAGTTCAAAGTTAAGTCTCTTATTTATCGAGATGGCAATAACTCCAACTAAATGCTCGAGCAATAGATCGAAGAATGAAAGATTACTTTTGGATAAATATCATTCAGTACTACAACATCATCTGATGTCTCCAGTACAATATTGGCATGTCTCTCGGGATACATTGCAGTGTTGTAAAGTGCTTGTGCCCATGAGCCCCAGTGCTTACTCATCTTGTGGGAAATCTTATTGTTGTTTTGGTTTAATGCTTCAGCTGATTCCTGAGTTCCTTTCCACTTTTTGCTTCTTTCAGGAATTTGCAACTCCGCTCTCTTAAACTTGTGATGGGTGTCCTCAGAGTGTTTTCGTGATTCTGAAGGTGCTGAGCCGAGGCGTTCGTCAATTCCCTTCGCCGACTTAAACTCATCTTTTACTATTGAAATAAAGGCTTGAAATAGAGAAGAATAAGCATCACGAAGAAGCTTGCAACCTTCATCATAATCATTGTTGAGATAATTTGGTCTTTGAGGATTCATGTTTGGTCCAAGAACATGTATGACATGGGTTACTCCTTCCCTATTAAACAAAGGAGAAGTTGAAGGCAATTGAACGGCCACAACATTGCCAGGTCGAAGGGACTTGGCTTGTTGTTTTGTTGCCTCTTCCAGACTGGGACCTGCAGCACTAAAAATTGCAGCATTGACACCACCCCCTCCTGGTTTCAATCGCCTGCACGGATATCATTATTAAGGATCTTCCTTATAATGATCGTAAAAAAAACATTTCGCCTAATACTGTCGATTTTCCTCAACTTCAAAGAAGAATGACATAAGCATAACATATGAGAGTATCACAAGGAGGGTAAAATACAAGATCAAAACATTAAGCATAAACATAAGAACGTCAAGGTTAAGGCTTTAGATATAGTTCAAAATCCAAGGGCAACTGAAGAAAGTATCTGATGTAACAGCCCAAGCCCACAGTTAGCAAATATTGTCCTATTTGGGCTTTCCCTCAAGGTTTTAAAACGCAATTACTAGGGAGAGGTTTCTACAATCTTATAAGGAGGGTTTCGTTTCCCTTTTCAACTGATGTGGGATCTTACAATCCATCCCCTTGGAGCCAGCGCCCTCGTTGGCACACTGCCCAGTGTTTAATTCTAATACCATTTGTAACAGCCTAAGTCTACCGCTAGATTATGTGGCTGCTAGGATTCGAGTCCAGGTTTCCATACCACAACGTGAAATTCTCACCAGATCAAGGAATTCTCCAATTAAATGCAGAGATGATAGATATGAGAGTATCATAACTTTCTCATACATTATTTAACAATATCTCAGAGGCTTGAGAATGAACAATTATAATACAATGGCACGGGCATGGACGGAGGAAATATATACTATGAATGCCTTCATACATAGAAATAACAAACATAAATATGTCACAAGCATACCAGTTTGCAGCATTGGCTATTACATTGCAGTGCAATCCACCATCTGACTTGAGTTTAGTTATATCACCTACAAATGTAAAAAACTTGGTGGAACAAATATTTTTCTTGGCCGCTTTAGCTTTAACCAAAGACAAAATCTTTGATCCATGACTTAAGTCTACCATAACAAGTCTGGCATTCCCAAGCTTATCCATGAATTCCTCCACCATCTCAACAATAATTTCAGCAGCCTTTTCATGGCTGAACTTGAAATCCGATGTTGAAATAGAAGGAAATGCAAGAGTTGGAGGATCACTTCCAGAAATATTGTTTTCTAAGGATCCAACGCCTGGATTTTCGCCTTTCTCCGACTCTTTATTGACATTGCTCAACATCGTGCAGGAAGACTCTTTCTTTTCCTGGGTAGTTTGAGAACTTGGAAAATCCTTATTGGTATTGGCATTAGAACATGTTTTAGCAGGATTTTCTGCTTTCTTTAAGAACCTCATTATGCCTAATTGTACTTTCTTGTCTGCATTCTTCTGTCCAAAACATCCATCTGGAAGTGCATCATGTAAACCAAGTGATTTATACGTATCTATGGCGGATTGAACGTCCGTTTCACTGTGACAAAATGTTATACGCTTGAACCCTTCATTCAGGTTCGGCAATTCTTTCTTTTGCAGCATTTTATTCACAACAGCAGCAGCTTTTCCACCTGATAGGTTCCCTTCATGACCGGTCCGCTTAACCGAACGGGAGATACAGAGCTGTGCAGGAAGATCCAATACAACAGCATGTACATCCACTAGAGAGCTACCTAGTTTCACAAACTCAGAACGCTGCTCTATTTCAAGATTGCATCTGTCCACAAATACACTCTTTCCATCATTCAATGCACTGGCTGCACTCTTCAGACACTGTGCTTTGGTTCCGGACTTGCCATTTCCAATGGTATCCTAAGAAGAACAAGTTCTTTGTGTCATTTCAGAAGTGATGAATATGAACTTCAAGTGTTTAGTGAGGAAGCAATTGTAGAACGAAAGTTTTTTCCCCTAATGATATTAAGCAAGCACTTAGAAAGACATGGAACCAGAGTGTAAACAGTGGCAGGAATTGGCACAAAACGAGCTATAGTTTCACTAATAAAATAAGGTCTCAAGCATTTCATCAAACAGATAGCGTGCACTATTAGAGAAAAACCTGGCAGATTCGAACCCAAGGGCGAGAAGAGGAAGCCATTACGAGTTCGCAGAAGGTGGACTTTCCGCTTCCAGGTGCGCCCACTAATATCACCATTATGAGCTTCGTTCGCCGTTCATTTCCTTTAAAATACAGACACTCATCGTTACGAAAATCGCAAAAGAAAGAATCTCCATCGTTTACGACGGATCTTAAAATCCACAGAAAACACAGAATACAAATAATCTTACACCTTTGGCTGTCGAATTTTCGTCGATATCCATATCCATTTCTAAATTAGGTTTTGCGTCTTCCTTCAAACCCTATCAATCGCCATCGCCGACGTTTTTCCTCCGATGAGTGAAGCTTGTAAAATACTCCACGGTCAGCTCTCCCCCAAAATTCGCTGCAAATGGATTGTTTGGTTACACATTTAGCATATCCTTGTCACGTATAAAATCATTATGCTAAGCCAAGGATTTTCTTTCTAATTTTCATTTCATGATTATCCATAAAACTTATATATATAATATATATTATCTACTAAGGTAAAGATCATCTTTAATCCGTTACGTATCACCGTCTAGGGAAACATTTCTACATTCTAATAAAACAGATAGCGTTTTTCTCTCCAACCAATGTAAGATCTCACCATCCACCTTTATCAGGCCAGTGTCCTAATAACCCAAGCTCACCACTAACACATATTATCCACTTTGGCCCGTTATATATAATGTTAAATAAGGAGAGATTTTTACACACGGAATACTTTGTTCAGTTATCAACCGATGTGAGATCTCACAATCGAATTAAAAATTTGAACTTTCGTAAACGTATTTGAGAAACATTAATCACATGTGAAAACTTAAACACATTGGTCTTATTCTACACCGACTTGTATTCTTTATCCAAAATCCGAAATGCAGCACATAACTAAAAAAAAAAAGTGTTAAATTTGTTGATGATTATATATATTTATCCAATCCAGCTCGTTCAAGACAAGTTCAGAGCCTAAATTTTTTTTTGAAAGAATAATAATAATATTAATAAGAATCACACGTACAATTCTCCCTTGTCTGAGAAACTTGTGCAGAAATTGAAGAAAAAGGGCCATAGAATGTTCTCAAGCTCCTAAATTTCAAACATTCAAGAAATTCCAAGACTACTTTACAAAGTGATGGTTACTCCTCTGGCACCATTGATATAAGGCGGGGAAGTTCCTTCTTCCACATTCGCCGCCGCATTGCCGTGCCTTCTGGGATCGAATTTCTCGCCGTCGCCCCACAGGGCATAAGCTTCCTCGCCGTGGACGGCGTCGTCTCCGATCATGAGTTCCTCGTCCGGCATCCGCAACGGCATAAACAGCCGAATGAAGAGGAGAATAATGGTGGTGGAGACGATGTTCCACCCGATTATGAACATGGCTCCGGTCAGCTGCTTCAGAAACTGAACGCCGCCGTTTTTGCCGTAAAAGGCACCGCGGCTGTCGGGGATCGGTAGGTATAGTTCGCAAAGAGTGGGCTCTGCTAAAAGGCCCGTTAGAAGCCCGCCCATCATGCCCGCTACCGCGTGCGTGTGAAATACGCCAAGCGTGTCGTCAGCCTGAAATACAAATCATCTGACAAAATTAAAATTAAAATTATCTTTATTTATTATTGATATCAACTTAATTTATATTTAATAATTCAATTAAATTTTTTTAGTTATAAATTAATATGGAAAATAATTTTAAAAGATAGAAAAACTAACCTTTTGCAAGAAACTCAACCTTTTATGGAGAATCATCATAGATACCCATGGAATACTCCCTCCCATAACTCCCATTATAATAGCTGCCCACGTCTGCACAACTCCTGTTTTAAAATTATTTGCTATAAATATTAATAACCTAATTTTAAAAAAAAAATAATATTAATATCATACAAATATCAAAATTTTAATTATATCGAAATATAAAAATTATTAATCATGTCAGAACTTTAACATATAAAATTAAAAAATTTAAGAATCTACGAAATTTATAATTGGACGAAAATTTGAATTAATTTAATTATACTCATCTTTTAACCTACTAAATAAAATTTAATTTCATCTAAAAACAAACTCAATTTAATTTTATTTTATTTTTCTAGTGAAATAATTAATATTGAACATTATTATTTGATAGTCAAATTATAAATTTCAATAGCCCATACTAGTGAAGTATATTTACCGGAATTTAAAATTGTAGAAATTAATTTTAACGAATTTGGTAAATTTAAGTAGTAAAATAAAATTTACCTGCGCCGGGGGTAACGCAAGCCAAGCCAGTCATCATGCCCTGAATGGCTCCAATCACTGATGGCTTCCCGAAGTAGAACACATCCAAGATGGTCCACACCAGCAGGCTCGTCGCTGCGCTTACGTTCGTATTCAGCACCGCAATCGACGCCACCACGTTCGCTGAGTGCGGTGCGCCGCCGTTAAATCCCGACCACCCCATCCACAACATCCCAGCTCCGGCCAACATCAGCAACACATTATTCGGCGGAAACCTCTCTCTGTCGCTTTTAATCCTCGGCCCAACCTAACCAAAATCAACAGAAATTAAAAACCCCCAATTCAAAAAGAACCAAAATCCGTTCAGTTCTCGTAATTTTACCCAATAAGCGGCGGTTAAGCCAGAAATTCCAGAAGAAAGATGAATAACAAAGCCGCCGGAGTAATCAATCACGCCCCATTGGAAGAGGAACCCTCCGCCCCAGATCGTGTAGGCGCCGACGGTGTACGAGAAAATTACCCAAAGAGGAACAAACGCCATCCAGGCTTTGATGTTCATTCTCGCAAGAACAGAGCCGGCAAGTAAAATCACAGTAATCGCAGCAAAGGTGAACTGGAAATACACCAGGGAAGCCATCGGAATATTCGGCTCAATTCTCGGCGTTACCCTTCCGTCGTGGCTTACATGGCCACTTTCAGGGATATTGGCTCGGTCAATTAGGTAACTTTGCTCCAGAGCTGGAATCCCTTTACCCCACAGAGGAATCAGCTGATCGCCGAAGGCCATTCGGTAGCCGACCAAAACCCAACAGATTAGAACGGCGGCGAAGGCGTAAAGCGCCATAAACGCAGAATTCACAGCCCATTTCTTTTTAACGATGCTTGCGTAGAGAATTACAAGGCCGGGCATGCTCTGAAGTCCGACCAGAGTAGAGGCTGTGATCTGCCAAGAGTTGTCGCCGGTGTTCAGCCACGGCGGAGTTCCGGTGGCCATGTCTACCGGCGGGGCGGTGTTGTTCATCAATAAAGAGAATTTGTTTGACCGATCTTGAAGGAATTGGGTTGAGAGACGGAGGAGTTGAATGTTTTTCAGCGGAGTCGCGTAAAGAAGGTTGACTGTGAAAAACGGTGAGTTGCTTTCATTTCGTTTGACCATACGGCTCCTCTCTCTTCCTCATTTCGTGTTCCGTTTGCTTTCTTTGAAATTAAAAAATAAAAATAATAAATAAATGAAAAAATATATTTCAACTTTTCACATCCTTGGAACTTTTTTTTTAGTTGTTTAAAATTTATCAACTAATTTTTAATATATTTATTAAAGTTGGTTTAAATTGATAATAATTTAAAGAATAAAAAATAACATATTTTCTAAATTTATAAATAAAAAAGCTAATCACACTAATTTTTGTTAAACAAATTTAAAATAAACTAAAAATTAAATTAATTTTTATTTTTATTGAAAGTACAAAAATAAAATCTAAATTAGATTAAATAAAAAAAAACTATTTTTAAATTTAAATTCGAGGAATTGGATTTTAGATACATACCGATGGTTCATTTTTTCTTTCTAGAAGGCTAGACTTTACGAAGACCGAGTTGAATAAAAAATCTTCGTTAATATGAAACAAAAATAAGGTAAAACTCTAAATGTGAACGGAGACAAGGATAGAGACGAGAATAAATTCTTTGCCCCACTTCGTTTTCTGTTTCACACTAAGATATTATTTTTGTCCATGAGGTAAACTAACTTTATCTATGATTTATCTTTAAAAAATAATTATTTAAATAAATATTTTTAATTAGTAATTAAGCCGTTGATCGACAAATGGCCCAGACTACTGGAAGGATTTCTTTGGATAATAGAGTATTCCTGTGATCGGTTTAGTCGGTATTTTTCTTTTATGGTTCATATTCTGGATTAGGTTCATCTAATCAGATGAATTGAGTTGTAGACATGAAAGTGTAAGAACTTAACAGGATTCCCTCGAATCAAATAAAGACTAAGTTGAGAATCTTTATCCGAGAAACATAAATGAAAAAGTATCTTGTCTCCATCCTCGTCCCATTTCTTGGATGGAAATATTTTTAAAATTTAAGCCCGTCAATTATAATTAGAAAAATATAATCTTTCTTTTAAAAAATTAAAAATATTTAATAAGAATGATTCAATTTGATTAATATGTTTACAAATTAAAATTAAAATAAGTAAAATACAATTAGTATTCTTATATCACGGACTCGTCAATTTATCAAATATTTAATGAAAATGTGACGATGTTAGATATAGATGGGTTTAAAATAAAACCAATGGATTTTAATTAAAATAAGTTTATGTTTAAATTAAATTTTAAACATTTATGGAAAATTATTAAATAAAATGGCCCAATTGTGGTTTTTGGGCCATTAAAAGATTATAAATTTGAATCTTTAATTTTTAATTAAAATATAGAAATCAAAATTTTAAATTTATGATTTAAAATTGAGAGAGTATTTTGTGTATTGCTTTCGACTATGAGTTTATTTGCTTTAATTAATTAATTATTCAAAATTTCAATTATGCCCATAAATATTCAAGATGGAAATAATATTTACGGAGTAATTTAAAAAAATTAAAACAAATATTTATACAATATTTAAAAACAGGATAAAAGAAGGGTAAAATGGTAACTATCTGCCTGCGTCTATGGAGCTAGAAGAAATGGCGCCAATGGACAAGGAACGATAAGACCTTGCTGAAATCACTTCAGTAATTCTCGAGTTACATTTGGAGTAAGTTTGGGAACAAGCCCAATCGTCGACCGCCGGAACTGGATCGTCGCCGTGAAGGAACCTCGTGACCTGTCTCATGGTCGGCCGAGCTTCTGGTCTCTGGTGAGTACAAAGAAGCCCTAACTGCAGCACCATCTCCATTTCTTCAACCTCATAAACCAAATTCAACTTCGGATCAGCCGCATACAGGATCTGTCCCGTTTCATAGCATTCCATCACCCATTCTACCAGTATGAACTGATCCGATTCCAGAGGCTTTCTTCCACATGCCACTTCCAGAAGCAAAACTCCATAGCCAAACACATCGGTGTTTTTCGAAGCCTTCCCGGTGCGTACCAACTCCGGCGCTATGTAGCCAATCGTGCCGACGACGCCGGTTGTGTGCGATTCTTCGGCGTGGTCGTATTGCCTGGCGAGACCGAAATCGCTCAATCGGGCATTCATGTCGGCGTCTATTAGAACATTGCTTGGCTTCACATCTCGGTGGATCACTACCTGCTCCCACTCTTCGTGAAGGTACAATAATCCTGCTGCAATTCCTTTGAGAATGTTGAATCTCTGTTTCCAATTCAATATGTTGTTGTTTTTTGGATGATATAGAAGTGAATAGAGGCTTCCATTTGGTATATAATCGTAAACTATGAGTAGATCGTTCTTTTTCTTGCACCATCCTTGGAGATTCACCAAGTTTTTGTGTCTTAGTCGTCCTAAGCTTTCGATTTCTGCTGCGAATTCTTTCATTCCTTGGCGCGAGTTTCCTCTAACTCTCTTCACAGCAATCTCAATTCCAGTTGAACGTAACTGACCTTTGTATACTGAACCAAACCCCCCAATTCCAATTAGCTCGCTGCTTTTGAATCCTTTTGTTGCTGTGTAAAGATCTCTGTAGTTGAATCTATGAGGACAGTCTCGTTCCCAATCCTCAAGCCTCTCAGTTTGCCACATTCTTCTAAACCAGAAAGCTAAGAAAAAGATTCCTAGAATGGCCACCACAGAAAAAACTGCTATGAGTACCTTGAAGTGGGAATTGGATGGCGGAGGAACAAGATCTTGCTCTTTTGGAGGGTTGGGAAGGAGAGAGTAATTCAACGACGGCGCTGGTCCATTCACTGCAAAACTCCATCCCAAAATGTAATGAGAGCTTGTTTGGTCTCCTGTCGAAGCCGAGAAGCCAACAAACATTTGTTCCTTTAGAACATCTTTCAGGTCAATCCGACGGGAAAGGAGTCGATCTGTTGGTTTCTTTTGCTGTTTTGTGAAGGGAGCTACGGTGACGTTCACAATTTTGTTGGGGCCATCATACTCAATCCAAGCAATGATAGGATCACCAGAATCCATTTGGAAGTCCTTTTCATTAGCATCGCCATAGTCGGAATAAGAAGCAGGTTTGGATGCTACTGATGAAACGCCATTGATATTGATCCCAACATGATTCCCTTTGGTGTTCTTGTCTTCCTCATGCCCATTTACAGTGTCAAATTCAACAGCAAATATATGGTTTGAAGTGTTACCATCGTTAGTAGAGTTGAACAATCCAAGGAAGTGTTTACTATCTGCACCTTCAAAATTGGTTGATGGAGCTAAGACGAAGGCCAGGCCAAAGCCACCTTGTCCGGGGCTCGATGGATTGATTGCAAAAACAAAAGTTGTGTTGAAGGATGAAACATTTGCAGATGGGTCAGAATTTTTATCAAACATCTGGAATGGAGTCGGATAGAATGCATGCCCTATAGCGTTAAGTGATCGATTGGTGAGCCTCAACGCACCAGATGGATTCATAACAATCGCTCCATCAAGAGCAAGTTTCGAGTCGTTAAATCCATGGTAGGTAAATGGAGGCTCCACAGAAGGAGCAGCCAAAGAAAGGAGCACAGAAAGAAGAGCCAAAGGAGCTGCAAAGGCTATAGCCATGTGACTATGTAAGAAAACAAAGTGCTCCAAAGAAGAAAACATGGGTCAGCTTTAAACAAAGAGAAGATCTGGAATTGGTCAATTTTGTGGAAAAACTCAGATTGCCTATGAGATTGACTTGGGAATAATGAATGGTAGGGGAAGGTCTCAAAGTTTGGGAGAGTCAGTGACTTGAAGCTTTGGAGTAAAGCAAAGTCATTGTGGTTTAGGAACGAGAGATTAAATGGTTTGATGGGGAAAGTTTGACAATTCAAAGGTTGAAGACGGAAAGAAATAACTCTTTCATGTGGAGATTGACAAAGCTGATGCCAAGGCCACTCATTCTGTTTAATTTTCCAACTAAGTTGACAGAAAGGCAATGGATAAGACTCGTTCAAGCCATGAAGGGGCCGCTACAGATAAACCTAGTAAGTTGCGTAGTAATGAATCTCTCTCCTAAATTCTCTTTAGAAGATTCAGACCGTTACTTTTCACAACTTCGTTATTTGCTGCTCCTCGCCTACTTTCTCTTCATAGTTAAGTGTTAATTGACTATAAAGACTGGAATTATTTACATTACCTTTGAAGCCCTGATTTTGGATGATTTTCTTTAGTTAAACTATAGTTCATCAAATCTTAGATAGCCTACCGTAGTAGATAGTATTTTTTTGGACTTTTCCTCTCAAGCTTCCTCTCACGTTTTTTAAAACGGTCTTTTCTAGTGCTTTGTTCCCTTCTCCAACCGATGTGGGATCTCAAATGGCAATGAAAACCTAATTAGTAAATAGTATCAGAGTTAGATATCGAGCGATGTGCCAGCGAGGATGCTGGGCTCTGAAGGAGTGTGGATTTGCGGAGTCTCATGTCGATTGGAGAAGGGAACGAGTGTTAGCGAGGACACTGGGACTCGAAAGGGAGTGAATTGTGATATCCCACATTGATCGGAGAGGAGAACAAAACACTCTTTATAAGGGCGAGGAAACCTTTTACTAGTAGACGCGTTTTAAAAACGTTGACGGACTGAAAAAGCCTAAAGAGAACAATATCTGACAGTGGTAGACTTAGGTTGTTACCTTTTGTCTTTTTAAATTTTTAATTATGCCTTGAATGGAAAGTTTTTATTTATTATTATTTTTGCGCAGCACTCAATAGGGAGCCACCAAATACGCCACCGACACTCAACACGTGGAATGAGTGCATAAGGATGTTGTGCTCAGCTCGGATATAGTTCTAACAGGTAACAGGTGAGATAATTTGAACTTTTGGTTTATTAGCGAAGGCTATATGTGTTAGTATTTTTTGTTCTTGTTTTCTAAGATAGAAAGGAGTTCTTGCTATTAATATCGACACAAAATTATAGATTGTCTAATTATACCCAGCAAGAATTTTCGCTTATTCATTTTAATTGTTACATGTATTGTTTTCAAATAATTTAATAATTGTTTTGTCTCACTTTGATTAAAATATATAATTAGACTTTATTTGTTATCCATTATGATATTTTATTTTATTTGTAACTTTTAATAATTAGTAAAAAAATATTTTACCACATGTTTATCATCATATTATAAGTAAGTTTTATTCGTTACCGGTATGCAATAAGGAATTATGTATATCTTAAAACAACGAAAAAAAAAAACGAAATGAAATAAAGAAAATAAAAGTGTGGAATAGATATTAAAATATTAGTTATAAGAAGAAAAAAAAAAACAATAAAAGAAAATAAAGAGTAAATATTGAAAAAATATCTTAACAATAAATAGGGTAGATAGATTTTCAGGCACAAGGGAAGACAAAAATGGCTCTTTATTTCTTCCCAACGTCGTGGGCCCAAGAAAATTTTGATCTTTTAGTACGAAATTAAGGAATCATGTGACAGAAATTAAATTTAGATGGGGGATATTCCACAAATTCTTCCCATCAATTTAACTTTAAAAATTAAAAATATATATACACTAAAAAAAAAAAAAAAAATAGAGAGAAAAAAACCATTAATCAAAACATAATTTAATAGATAAGTTGTGAAATACCTATCTCAAAATTAATGGTTAAATCTTAATTCTCGAAAAAAACTCAACCATATGCAACTTTGAATTTTCATAGAGGTTTTTTTTTTTTTTTTTCCTCTTAAAATACTTGTCCTCATTTTTAAGGTCAATATATATATAAATAAAAGTATAAGGTTGGAAGCTTTCTAAAGAAATAATGATATCGTGGTGATTATGATGCGACTCATTTTCAAAATCATTATTTTTAGTCCGTGTATGGAATCAATTTTTTCTATTAAATTTTACTAATTCAACTATTTTATTTTAAGATTGGATTTATTTTCCAAAGTATATATATATTAGAAAAAAAAAAAAAAAAGACTTTGAGAACTAGTACCCTAATATAAGTAATTTAATAAGACTGTTAATACGTTTTCAAAGTCATTTATCTATTGCTCGAAGCTAATTGGATATTGTTTTATAGACTATGATATCACATTAAATAAATATAAATTCTTTCTTAAAATTAATAAATTATAAAAGGACAAATTCCAGGCTCTGCGTTATGTTTCAATTAAGGTTGCCACGTGTCGCTTAAATATCCAACTGCCCTTTCAACATTTGAAATCCAACGGTCCAGATAAAAAACAGACAAATTTTGGGTGCGGGATACAACGTAAAACGTGGAAGCTGCTGCTTGGTTAGAACTTTCAATGTTGTCTTAGCCCATTTGGTTTTACGTGGGCCCGATTAAGCCCGCTTCTCAGTGGGCCCAATTCAGCGTTCTATTCATTTGATCCGTAATTCAAGCAGCCCACATCCTGGCCCAATTTCTCTTAAATTTGAGAGAGCGGAAAATAATAGTGACAGATAATTGGAGAATTAATTAATTAAATAAATAAATAAATCCTTTCAAATTGAAAATATTTTAAATGATACAAATAATATAGAAGAATTAATTAATTAATTAACATATTTAAAATTATCAAATTAACACAGATAAAATAGTTTAAAAAATGATTCTCCTAATCAAAGAGTAAAATGTGGTAATAAATTTTAGTAATTTAATGATAAGGAAGATTAATTAGTCATTAATTAAAAAAAAACCATGGTTGAATTACATAATTATTTCATTAATTAATTATCTTTAAAATTGTTGAAAAATATGATGAGGCCGACATAGACACTAGACTCCAGAGGTTTTAGGCCCATAACACATAGCCCTAAGCCCATGGGCATGAGGCCGATTTGCCTGTCGCTGGGCCCAACAAAATGTGGTTCATATTAAAATTAAATTAAAAATTAAAAAAATAATGGAAATTGTGAGCCAGTTAATGATGTCGTTTTTTGGTGGGCTGTCGCAATTTTTCTTTTTATTATTCTCGCCAAAATGTTGCAAATTGAAGGCTGGAAATTAATTTCGTAATGAATTTAAATTTAATTTCATCATTTTCCTCATTAAAAAAACGAAAAAGGGATGTTTTTATTACTTTTCTTCGTGAATTCGATTGTCACATGTCGTTTGTCCTTATTATATATATTTTTTTTCGTGAAATAATGTAGATTGAAGGAAAATTCTACAGTAATAATTGGTATGTTCGAAACTACCTATGGTCCCAAAAAAATAACACATTTTTTACATATATAGTATCACCCTTTTTTAGCTTTGGTCAACCATATATTTTCGCCCCCATCAAGTGAACCATGTGAACTTTGGTCTATCCATATATGGGGCTCGTGTGTGTCACCCTATTAAGTCTTACCCAATCCATGAATCAATCAATCATAACCCATGAGTCGGCTACGAGTCAACCACAGTGGGCTTCGGCCTCCTTGTTTCTAAGGTCCAAATCTCTATAACTTCAAAACTCGTCCCAATTAGCTAGATTCACTCATAACACCAAGGTCGATCTCAAGTGGCACATTAAAATGAAAAAATTTGAGATCCCAATAGGGGCCCTCCCAAGTGCATGAGAAAATTGCGGCCCTTCAAATTGGGCGTGCAATCTTTCATCTTTTATGAATTTATTCTCCAATGTGCAACCATCTACCAAGTTGCCCATTTGCTGAATAGTTTGAGGTGCTATATTATTCAACACGACGCCGCATTTATGAGCCTTGGTCCGCTTATGAATTTTCCTCCCTTTTCTTACCTGTTTATAGCCAAGTTTCCAATATTACGAAAGAGAGCATGTGGGTATTTTTTCAAAACAAAAAAACAAAGGACGGGTCAAGTCTAGTCGGTAGGTCTTTTCGTAATATTTTAAATTTTCTTGAACGTTTCTTTTGTAAAGTAATATATAAAATTTGATATCAATTCAAATATAACTCAATAAATAAATTACTATTTTATTAATAAAAATAATAAAATATTAACTTCCAACTTATGATAATTATTTAAGAAATTAAAATTTAAAAGTGGTTTGGGCAAGTTTTGTTAAAAATAAAAAATATTTTGGTAATTTGGTAAAAGGAGAGGGAAGGGTAATTTGGTAATTCCGCCCGATCAGGTTACTTTTAGGCTTTATATATATAATAGGTATCCACACACATGCTAATTCATCTGTGAGCCAATCGGAGAGACCGAACGATCGATCGCCGAGAGGCTGAGCTTATAAATCAACCGTCGATCAGCCGCCGTTCTCCGCCGTTGGCGGCTGGAAACTGATAAATCCTCTCTTTCTATTTATTTTTAATTATTATTATTTTTTTTACGTATTTTTGTTTCTTGTGGAATCGTGAAAAGCTCTCTTCGCTGGAAATGCTACCGAAGCCCTCTGTATCGTCTGTTCTAATAGACCAAATCAACGGCTCCGATTCAATCTCCGTCTCAATCCATTGCCATAAGGAGGCTCAGAAGTGGTTTCCGGTGCAGGAATCCGTAGCCCTTTACCATACGCACGCTGTGGGGCCCAACCAGACCTGCTCCGCCGTGGTCCGAGAAATCGCCGCCCCCGTCTCCACCGTCTGGTCAGTGGTCCGGCGGTTCGACAACCCTCAGGCTTACAAACACTTCGTCAAGAGCTGCCACGTCGTTGTAGGCGACGGCAACGTCGGAACCCTAAGGGAGATCCACGTCATCTCCGGCCTTCCCGCCGGCTGCAGTACAGAACGTCTCGAGATTCTCGACGACGAACACCACATCCTCAGTTTCAGCATGATCGGCGGCGACCACCGCCTCGCCAACTACAGATCCGTCACAACACTCCATCCGTCGCCGACCGACGGCGGAAATAAAACCATCGTCGTGGAGTCCTGTTGAGGATTATTGGGATTGGGAGTGTCCCACATTGGTTAATTTAGTGGAAGATCATGGGTTTATAAGTGAGGAATACTATCTCCATTGGTATGAGGCCTTTTGGGGAAGCCCAAAGCAAAGCCATGAGAGCTTATGCTCAAAGTGGACAATATCATACCATTGTGGAGAGTCGTGATTCCTAACAAGTCCTACGCCGTCGATACGCCGCCGGGAAATACCAAAGAAGAAACAACCGTGTTCGTCGATACGATTCTCCGTTGCAATCTTCAGTCGTTGGCTAAACTCGCCGAAAATTTGCATAAACCCAATAATCAATCTCCGCCGTAACTTCATCAATTAGAACCTTCTCTATTTTCCTCTGTTCTCTGCTTCTTCAATTTTTGGCTTAATCGTCTAGAAATTCTCATTGGCTACCAAAATCCTTTTTCTGTAGACAATTAATATTTAAAATTTTATTTTCTTTCCCAGGTTCTTAATTTCCATTTTAAACATTTCGTTTCATTTCAATAAATATACAGCAATTAAATTATTTATCAATAAATAAATAAATATATATATATATTGGGCAATTGGAAGGTTCTAGAAAGAGGAGGTGAAATTGTTAAGGGCAGTGGAGACAGGGCCTTTATTTATTTTTTTATTTTTATTTTTAACATTTCTATTACTATTATTAATAAGTTTGTGTATGTTATCATTTCTCAATAAAATTAAATTTATAATAAATATGGTAAATATTTTTTTAAAAATTAATTATTGCATAAATAGACGATAATAATACTAACTTTAACATAGAAATGGAAATGAGATTTTTTTTTGTGAACGGACGAAATTATCAACGGAGAATCCCGACTCCAATTCTTTAAAATGGAGAATGGGATCAAGACGGGAATGAAAAATTCTCACGTGAACGGAGAGGAAAAGCGTAACTCCGACCCCACTGCGTCCCGTTGTCACCACTAAGATTATTATGAATAATGTGAAATTTTTGGGCACGTGACATGCCCGGCATTTAGCGATCAGAAGTCTGTGTCAGAACGACGTCGTTATTCAAGATACAGACAGCCTCAATACCCTCCAAATCCGATGCAACAACTTACACCGCTCATACCTGATGACTGAGATTACCCTTTTTCCTTTATTTTATTTTATTTTTATTTTCACCGATTTTAAATAATATATTTATTATTATTATTATTGAGAATTGCCTTCACAGACGTTCCATGACAACTGGAAACTAGTGGGAAAAGGGGGAAAAAAAATTTAAATCATTAAATATTTATACAAAAAAAAATAAAAATAATAATAATAATAATGTTTCTGCCATTATTTTGGAAGCAGCTGAATACATTAGAAAGGCAAAAGTTGATGCAAAAATAGAAATTGCCTTTCGTCACTAAATCCTTATTTTTATTATAGGTTTAATTGGAAAAAATAATTTTTTATTTTATTTTAAAATATAATTTTCTTTTTTATTTTACGACTAATAAATTCTGAGGGTTATTAAGAGAAGAGTTCTACATTGATTAAGAGTAAGATCATGTCGTATTATTATGGAGGTCCGTGATTCATAACATAAAGTGTCAAAAAATGTGTTAACATTTATTAAATAATTAATATTTTATCTATCAATGTGAGCATAGATCAACTGTACCTGTGATAATGAATTTTTTTTAATGTCCCACTTAAATGGGTTTATAAGGAGGGTGGGAGTGAAAAGAAAGGTGCAAGTTGGTTAATGTGGGAGTGTTTTAAAAGGCAAGTTGTGGAGGGGGAGGGGATTGAAAGGGACAGGGTTTTGATTTGGGAGCCAAGTTGAAGAAGTTGGGAAGTGCAAGTGGGAAGCAAGTAAGCTGCTTTTAATGTCTACATCTACTCTTCAGTCTTGTCTGCTTTTCGATGCCTTCACGCCTACCCTATTTTCATTTTTCCCCATTTGCCCTTCCTCCTCTTTCATTTCCTTCCGCTTTTGGGCCTCATTCGCCCTGCAGGCCCAACTTTTTTTTTTTTTTTTTTTTCTTTCTATAACTTATTTCAATAAATTGATTTAAATAATTACTTAAATTAAAAATCTAAATTTCACGTATCTCGTTAAAATATATAATGGGTCAAAACAGACAATATTTAATAGTATCAGAGTCAGTCATGGTGTGCTAGCAGTGGGGCTAGATAAATCAAAAACTTTAAGACTAGCTTACCGTGTTTTGACTAAATGCAAATGCTGACTCTATCACTTGTGTTTTATCTAACGAGCACGTTGATTATTATTTCTTTTTAAAATTTAAAAAAAAATAGAAGATTTTAAAATTTATTTGACTCGATAATTAGATTGAGTCCAACTGTTTTGGAACTTTATGATAAAATCACGTGTTATTTACTTATTTTCAAGTCTTTTTCTTTGAAGAGTCGGTAGAGATATTGGACTAAAAATGTTGGACGGAGACATTTTCTTGTTTGAGTTATAATTTTTTTTAATCAAAACCAGATAATTAAGCAATAAACGTTAATAATTAAACCGTCTATTTATTTTTATTTTTTTAAACTTTAATTAAAAAACTAGTTGTAAAATTAAAATAAATATATACTTGTATTTATTTTTAATTAACATATACTACGAGTGAATTTCAGCTCGATTTACTTGAAGATAGTCATGAATTATTGACTATGATTGATTTTTTTCCCCCTTAATTCATAATTTTATTGGGTCTAAATTCATATTATTCTTGATCCGGAGGAAGATTGAGAACCGATTAGGGTTTTTGCAGCAGAACATGATTGGGTTGAGCTCTATTCTATGGCGAATCGCAGCCAGAAATCAGGGACGAATGACCGGACTCCGGTGATGATCTACCTTAACAGTCGCTGCAACCATCGTCGGAGAAACTATTTCGCCCTTCAAATCGCCATTTTCCGGCGCCGGAAAACAGAGAGGGGCTAATCCCAATATTCTAACTAGGTAAGCCGTTTTTACTTGAGTATTTGCTTTTGAATTAAGCTTTCTATAAACGAAGAAGATGATCGAAGACAGAAACTCGCAATTATACTGAAGATTCGCATTATACTCGTGTAACATCGATAGTATACATACACCTACATTGATAATCAATATGAATAAAAGAATAATTCGAGTACTAATTGACCAAAAAAATAAAAGAATACATATCTTCTGAGCTTGATCTTGTTTGTTGGTAATCTATATCTTGCTGATACAGCTCTATTCATTTGCTGGTTGATCTTTGGCGCCATCATCACCAGATGTAGAAGCCGCCTTAATTTCCTCCAGTTGCTGGAGAATTTGCGGTACGTCGGGCCGAGCAGCTGGTGAGGGATCGACACAATGCAGGGCTAGTTTTAAAGTGTTCAGCAGTTCATCGCCAATATTGGGTGTGTCTTTCATCAGCTCCAAATCAAACACTTCATTTGTCCACTCCTCCTTCACTTTTGAGGCCACCCACTGAGGTAAATCCATTCCATCCATGGCTTCTCCAGGTGATTTTCCTGTCAAGAGTTCCAATATTATGACTCCAAGGCTGTAAACATCTGTCTTTGCTGTCGGTTTCTTTGTTTTTGTTAGCTCTGGTGCATTGTAGCCCTGTGTTCCTGCAGTGGCAATCACATTTGTGGCTGCAGCTGAAGTCATGAGCTTAGGAAGCCCAAAATCCGCTATACGAGCATTGGTTTGATCATCCAACAAAATGTTGCTGGATGTGAGGTTTCCATGAATTAGATTCTCCTCTGTGTGGAGATAGTTTAAGCCTTGCGTAATTCCGATCACTATCTTCATCCTCGTTGCCCAATCGACTGTCGTTTCCGGCCCGCGAGCTGCATAAAGTTAACAAAAGTAAGTATATTAGTTACAAGTGTAGCTTAACTAGATTAGTAACCTCTTTTATGCTCCGTAAGCTTTGAATATCCGCCCTTTGTTTGAGCTACGACATCGAAAGATTTCGTGGTTGTAACTTTGTACTGCTAAGCCTTACCATGAAGAAAGGAAGAGAGGCTTCCTCTAGGCATGTATTCAAAGACAAGAAGCTTCTCTCCTTTGGGGCCCAAGTAGTATGCTGTAAGAGCAAGTAGATTCGGGTGTCGAATTTTTCCGAGTCCCGCAACTTCAGTTTCGAATTCATTCTGCCCTTTTGTTGTCTTTTCCCTTAATCTTTTCACTGCTACTTCATTACCATCTTCTAATGTTGCTTTGTATGCTGTTCCATATGTGCTCTTGCCCATAATCTCCGCAGTTGCACACAGAAGATCATCGGCAGTGAAAACAAATGGCCCATCAAAATGAACTAGCTTTCCACCAGCTTCGCTCGCCCCTACTTCAGTACTGCCTTTCTCGACGCTCCTCACAGCAGCTTGTTTGGCTGTTATGTTGTCATTCTTTTTGGAAGCAGCTCTTTTTGACAACAAACAACAGAGCAAAATCGAGCAAAGAACAAGTAGAAGCACCAACAGAGCTCCGGCCGCTATCAGAATTATGTCCTTTACACTTAGTTTGCGGTGGCGATGCAGTTTCGGGACATCGGTTGATGGGTTTGTAATATTCTGTGGGGAGGATGCAGGTAGACATGGAGTTGAAGAACTAAAGCCACAGAGTTTAAGGTTCCCAACAAAAGAGCTCGCATTGAACTTATTAGACAGGAGAATTGGGACAGGACCAGAGAGATTGTTGTAGGAGACATTGAAAGATGTTAGATTCAACAAATTAGTCAATGATGGTGGAATCTGTCCCATGAAGTTATTTTCTGAGAAATCAAGATGTTTAATAGCAGAAATGTTCCCTAAACTTGCAGGAATCTCCCCATTAAAACGGTTCTTCCCAAGCTTAATCACTGAGAGATTCTGCAATCTATCAATATCTCTAGGAATCTGGCTTTCAAGGCGATTGTTTTCAACATTCAATGACTCAAGAGAGGACAGATTGGTGAAACTTGAAGGGAAGCCACCATTGATGGCGTTCTTCGACAAATCCAACCGGCGAAGCCTCTTCAGCCTGCCGATTTCGACTGGTATAACCCCAGAGATGTTATTTTCACTGAAAGAAATCTCTTGAAGCCATTCCAATTTGGTCAAAGAAGGTGGAATTGTTCCAGATATAACATTATGATCAAGCGTTAAAACCCCAAGTGGACAAGTTCTGTTTCCAAACCCACCCCAAGAATCTGGGACAATCCCAGAAACATTATTGTGCTGAAGGGCAAGAATTACAAGAGAAAACGACTGCGTAAAACTTCGAGGTATGGATCCCGACAATGAATTGTAGCTCAGATTAACTCTAATCAATTTGGTTGAATTTGCAAGACTAGAAGGAATTTCTCCAGTGAGGAAATTGTTGCTCAAATCAAGAGTTTGAAGAAGGGGAAGATTACCAATTGTAGGAGGAATAGACCCTGAAAATCTGTTGTTGAAAAGATAAATTCCTCTGAGATTCGGAAGGTACCCGACCGACCGAGGAATGGTGCCGGAGATCGCATTATCATGAAGGCTGAGCTTCCGAAGTTCCCGGAGCTGCCCAATTCTGTCGGAAATCCTGCCGGCGAGTTCCTTCCATGGAAGCTGTATGACAATGACTTGTCCCTTCACACACTTGATTCCTGCCCACTGTCCGGAACAAGCTCCATTACTGCCATTCCAGCTATGTAAAGCTCCTTTCACATCAATAAGTTCATGCTTTATAGCTTGAAGAGCTTGAAAATCTCCTTGTGTAACAGCCACTCCATCCCACATCTGGCCGGTGACAGATTGAAGAGACAAAGCCAAAAGATGAGCCAAAAACAGAGCATTGAGGTACGAATAACCATTTCTCCATTGTTGGATCTTCCATTTTCTGTTCTTATTGGATGATTTAGAGCACCAAACAGCTATTTTTGGTGCAAGAATCTGCATGAACTGAAATGGGTATGAAGAAAACAAAAAGATAAAAGAAAGATTGGATTCTTCTTCTTCTTGCTCTGGTTATTCTAGGGTTTCTGAAAGTTGGGAGATATGTTTTATAGGAGAAGACGAAGAAGAAACAAAAAGGATAATGAAAAATAACGGAAAAATGATATGAACTGAGAGAAAGAGTTGGAGTTGGACTGATATCATGTGAGAATCTGAAATTTTATTATAATTTAGGGCGGAGAAAGGGTTTAGCGTAAGCCCTACATAATGGGGTCTTGAGTCTTCGTTCTTTTATGTCAACGGCTACATTTTTTCTTCAGTTATTCGGGCTACGTGACATTTATTTTTTCCCTTTGCTTCTGTAACGCTTTGTCGCTCCTCCAACGGCTATATTTGATTGGGTCAAGCATAGTTGGTGGATAATGTATAATGGGAATTATGAACGTACGTCGTGCCACTTGGGATTGGAATTTTCTACTTTTAAATATTACTAATAATAATACAATAATGATAAAATAATTCATTCTCGGGCTCAATGCTCGAGTAGTTGACATGTGTATTTGGAATTTTCATAGGCCAAAGCGGATAATATTTACTAATGGTGGGTTTGGACTGTTACAAATGGTATCAAAGCTAGACATTGGGCAGTGTGCCAATGAGGACATTGGATACCCAAGGGAGTAGATGGTGAGACGATACCTACGATATCTATCTATTGGACTTGGGCGGTTACATTTCTTAAATAAAAATTATTTGCCTGGATTTTAAAATTTATTAAATAGATTTTAATCTTATGTTTAATTACTACAATTTTATCTTATTATTAACAGATAACAATTAAAATTTTCAAATATTCACTGTTTTTCACTGTTTATGGCACAAAATTAGATTTTAAATAATTAATAAACTCTACCAAAACGTACAAATTCCAAAAAGAAAAAAGAGGAAAAAAAGGGAGAAAAGAAAGTAAAAGCTTCTACTTAAATTTTGTTTTTCTTCATAAAATTGAAATTCTTTTGTAGAAATTGATACTTTCTCAAAATAAATAAAAACCACCTCTACTCCACTCATCATTGGAAATTAGATTAGGAAAGGATTGGAATAGTGTCCACTTTGAGCATAAACTCTAGTAATTTTGTTTTGGGCTTCTCCAAAAGACCTCGTACCAATAGAAAGAGTATTCTTTTCGAAAAGACCTCATACCAATAGAAAGAGTATTCTTTGATTATAAAGACTGATCATTCCCTAAATTAGAGACTTTCGTCCTCCAACAAATTGAACCATTAAGCACACCAATAAGCCATACGTCAACGGTTAATTGGTTACGGCAACGAATGTCATTTCAAAAGTCTGGTTATTCTTCTATGGCCATTGTATTTAAAATAAAGTCACTAGCATTTACAAATCAAACTAAACTAATGAGATCGGTTTCAATTAGGTTATTTGGTCATTTACAAATCCTTAACTCTTGTTTCAACCATCTTTTTCTTTAATTACATTTTGTCGTCGTGAAATTCTAGACGGGATAATGCACCTTACACTCATGTGACAACAACGATGAAATGTTCTTTTAGTGGAGAAGAATGCGGTCTTTATCACAAGAAAAACATACAAATCAATGTAGTGTTTGTCACACAGACTCAGATATTCAAATATTCAAGCAAGTGAGAGAATTTAGAAAGTGTATGGAATTTGGTTGAGCTTTAGAACTTAATAGAATTTACCTCTCTCTAGTGGACAATCTCACCTTGCTAGGTGACATGGTTCTCGTTGGTTTAGTCGCTATTTTTATTTTATTTTTTTTGGTCCTTTTAGCTGGTGCCTGTGATCCAAATTCACCCGTATCCACCAAAAAATAAACATATCTTTAAATTAATTCCAAACCCATAACGAGCATAGCTAAGGGTGCTGACACTTATTGTATTAAAGAAAACTTAAACTCATATGAGTAGTGGATTCAAAATTATATAATTTTTTAAAAATTTCCAAGCCAATAATTTTCAAACACAAATGAATGTCCGGTAGTGCATTGAATTGTTCAATATTGACACAATATCTAAAATACTATTACTCAAGTATACAGTACAGAGTTATAAGAAATAAAATTAATTGGGATTGGAAGTTCAATTTTCATTGATATTCACAATATTTAAATAGAATACAAAGCTACCAACTAATGCATACGATACCTACTGAGGAAAATATAAACTAACTAATCTTGATAATAACATAAAATATACCACTCATCAAGAAAAATATTAACTAACTAAATCTTAATAATAAAATAAAATATACTACTAAATAGGAAAAATATTAAAAATATATTCTATAACTAATATATTCTACCAATATTAATTGATTACAAAAATATTAACTAACTAAATCTTAATAATAAAATAAAATATACTACTAAATAGGAAAAATATTAAAACTATATTCTATAACCAATATATTCTACAAATATTAATTGATTACAAATATGTTGAATTAATATAGCAAGAAGAAATGATAGCCAATGTTGTCAACGGAGGCACGATTTCAACATGAACGTTAATCCAAATTGACCAGTTCAACATGAAAAGTATTCGAACACAATAATAATCCAAGGGCCATCGAAGCTCAGTTAACAGCTCTAGCTATATTGCTGAGCCAGTGAAGAATTTCATCGACCAAAATAAAATACATTTAAAAATTAATATAGCAATATAAATATGTTTTTTTTAATGTATTAATTAATCGTATAGTGTATTACTCTCGATTTTTTATTTTATCATATTTTTTTATACTAATTAACGTAATATCTAACTTTATTATAAATGATTTAATTTAAATCAACAAGTCTCACGTTAATTTTATATTTTTACGCAATTTTGCCGGTATTAAAGTGAAATTTATAATACTATAATTAAATGTCAACCTTGCCACGTCAAGGGTGAGTTCACAAATATAAAATGGTACAGGGTCAATACTTTGCTTCGATATTAAGACAAATAAATTTGCCTTTCTATAGAAGAAAGGATAAAATATCGAAGTAATTTTAAACCGCGAAATTAAAGTTACGTGTAAAATTTATTTAAATAATTCAATTGAAATATCTAATAAACATGATAATAAGGTTAAGGTGAATTAAAGAAACAATTATGAGGGAAAGGTGAAATTATATACTTCATTCTTATATTTGAATAATGAATATTTTACCAACTAGAAAGATGAATCATTACCGTTGGTTGACCGATCAAATCAATATGAATGGACGGTCACGATCAGAAATAGGGAAACCACAGCGAAGGAACGTCCTTACGGAATAAAACTTCCGCCCGACCGCGTTTTTCTCCACTATTTATCGGCAGAAGAGGCTTTATATCGTCAGTTTCCTTCTTTCATTTCCCTTCCGACTAAATTACGGGAGAATCATCCTTCGTCAACAATCTCAAGATCCACCGACAATGGCTTCCTCCTCCCCGGCCATACTTCCAATCTCCAATCCTCAATCCGGCACCGTCCCCGCCGCTGCCTCAGGCGGTTCTGTTCAATCTCAAGCCCCTGTTACCACGCCGGCCTTTCGCGCCTTCATCAACCACCTAACGGAATCGCTCCGACACGGCCTCTCCCAGCAGAGATCATGGGCTGAAGTTGCGGATCGGACGGCCTTTTCGAAGCCTGAGTCGTTCTCCGAAGCGACTCTGCGAATCCGCAAGAATTACTCCTATTTTCGCGTCAATTATCTCGCAGTGGTTGCTCTGATCCTCGGATTTTCCCTCGTTTCTCATCCGTTTTCTCTTCTCCTTTTGGTCGGGCTTTTATCCTCGTGGCTATTCCTCTACCTCTTCCGCCCGTCGGATCAGCCGCTGGTTCTATTTGGCCGCACATTCAAGGATAGCGAAACCCTAATTCTCTTGGTTTTGCTCAGCGTGTTCGTCGTGTTCCTCACCAGTGTTGGATCGGTCCTCGTCTCGGCTCTTATGGTCGGTGTGGGTCTGGTCTGTGCCCATGGTGCGTTTAGGGTTCCTGAGGATCTCTTCCTCGACGAACAAGTAACTGAATCCACCGGATTCCTCTCGTTCTTCAGCAGCGCGGCTTCCAGCGCCGCCGCTGCCGCCGTGCCTGTGGCTGCTCGCACGTGATTTGAATAGATCAAGGGATGGAATCGCCTTCGCTCCGGTATCAGTAAAGGCATTGAATCTTGAAAATTGGCGTAGACGAAATAAGATACAGCTATATTTTTCTTTTTTTGTTTTGTGCAAAATTTCATATCAACGACCTGCTCTCTACCTTAAGATAGATTATCATACTGCATACGATTTCTATGTGTTCAATTTTTTCCCTCTCTTCTTTTACTATGGATATCGCTATGTCTTGTATTCGAATTTTGTTATCACACACTGAAATTCTGTTCTCTTAATTGTCCTATTCGTCAAGTTCTGGAGTTCTTCGCACATTTTCCATGCCAGTGGTTTGTGATATGGCTTGTTTGATGTGTAGATTTGGGGTGCTTGACAAAAAGAAATTTGGGTCTGTGATTCATTTCTTCCGTAAATTGGAATATATTGTTCACATTGTTCATCTTCTCCGATCCAGCAGCTAGATCATTTAAGGGGATCTGCTGAACATTAAGCTACCAAATTTTCTAATGTCATGATTTGTTCTATTTGAGTTGGCTTAGTTTTGGTTGGATTGGACAAGAAATAGATTATAGAAACTTATAGAAACTTATAGAAACTGAAATCTATGCCCTCTGAATTTGGTTAGTGGATTCTTGGGGTATGATAAATTGTAGCCTTATTATAGCTTGAGAGGAGGCTTTAGAAGCTCAGAGTCCTAAACTAAATTTTCTTGTTCGCATCGAACCTATGTGCCATGTGTATGAATCACGTTTACAAAATGTAAATCCAATCGAGTTTGTGTTCATTGATTTCGACAACACAAAGTTATGACCTTACTTGAACTTGATCTGTTTTATGAGTTATATAAGTTCTAAGGAGACATGAAGAACAATGGTAAATTAGGTCTTAGGGTCTTAGGGTGTGATGTTGGTTGAGGAGGAGAAGGAAAAGCCCAAGAAGACAATATCTGCGGGGATCAATTCTAGAGAATTCAATTCAGGAAAAGCCCAAAAGGACAATATTTGCGTGAATTGGGTCGTTACATAGAGAATTCAATTCAAACTCAACTCAATCCCTTCAGGGAAGCTGAATTCAAACTCAACTCAATCCCTTCAGGGAAGCCCGAAAGGAAAGCCTACAGAGGACAATATCTTTCCCCTGAAAGGAAGCCTAATAAAGAGGACGGAAAGGAAGCCTAATAAAGAGGACAATATCTGCCTAAAGAGGACAATATCTTTCCCCTACAAGGAAAGCCAGGACAATATCTACCTAAAGAGGACAATATCTTTCCCCTGAAAGGAAAGCTTAAAGAGGACAATAAGCCTAAAGAGGACAATATCTGCATCATCTCAATCCCTTCTAAAGAGGACAATATTTGCGTGGATATGGACAATCCCCTTGAGAGGAAGCCTGAAAGAGGAAAGCCTAAAGAGGACAATATTTGCGTGGATCTGGACAATCCCCTTGAGAGGAAGTCTGAAAGAGGAAAGCCTAAAGAGGACAATATTTGCGTGGATCTGGACAATCCCCTTGAGAGAAAGTCTGAAAGGGAAAGCCCAAAGAGGACAATATTACGATAATTCAATTCAAACTCAACTCAATTCATACCAAGCCGGACAATATTTGCGTGGATCTGGACAATCCCCTTGAGAGGAAGCCTGAAAAGAAAAGCCCAAAAAGGACAATATCTGCGATAATTCAATTCAAACTCATACCGTTTGTATTAGATTATAGTTTGTTGTTAGTTCATTAATCCTCTTAATACACTTATTTTAAATTTTAGAATATAAAACTTTTGAAAAACATATTAAATTGAGTAGTAAATATTGATTTAATATTTAAAAATAAATAATTTACTTTTTTTATTAAAAATAAAATTTGATTTAATTAATCAAGTCACCAAGACGCCTAAATAAAATGGAAAAAAATTATTTAAATGCAAAATAAAATTCAAGATGCATTTAAGAAAAAAAAAATCGTATCACCGTCTTGCCTCGCATTTGCGTTCATTCTCCCGCCAATCCCTCTCCGTCGCCATTCTTTCAAGGTTCTGCAATTACATTATTCTGTTTCTCACTTTTCACAATCCACCATCATCCTTTCCGTGCTATTTGTTTGCGGACGGAACCAAGGAGGCCATAACCAATTCTATTTTCATTGTGCCAGAGTTGAGAGCCAAGCCAATCTCGATCTCGATTCAGGTTGTTTACCTCTCTGTCTCTACTTCGACTTGATGATCAAATGCTATATCGCTGAATCTTTGTTTCGCAGCATCAATGGTGGAGCGGGATCCGGAACTCGTTTATGTCATTGACGAACTCGACGATCAGTCATTCTTCTCGCTTTGCTTTGTTCCTTCAGCGTTCATCAGAACTTGGCTTCACAATAACACCGAGAGGTTCCAAATAAGGCTATCGCAGTTATTCACTGTTTTCCCAGGGTTTACGAAGGATCCGTATCCTTATGTTAGAAAAGCTGTTACAGATTGCAGGTCTGTGGAATAGAGTTCTCGATGACGGCAGCATGATTGAAGGTTTCTATTGCGTGCTATTGAGCTTCTAAACGACGTAGAAGATTTTGTTAAATCAGCTGCGATACGCATTATACGACACTCGTTCTCCAGATCTCTTTCCATTGATTCTGTTGTTACAACATGAAGATTGTAATGAAGTGATTTCAGTTCGGTAGTAAGTCGCTGTTCCTTAAGATTCATAGTCCTCTATTTGATATATACATAGATGTTTGATGAGTTGATGACGAGCACTAATTAATTACTGTGATATATACACAGAATATCATGTTCCTTTAGCAGTAACACCTCTTCGCGATTGATACAGGTCATCACCTAAGATCTAATGGTTGCGGCGCATAGTCCAGAGAGGAAACTATTTGTCTGATGAAATATTCGTTAACGTAAGTTTAAATTTTACTATGCTGTTGATTTCTCTGGATTGTTGATATTTACTCATTTGAAGAAGTTATCATTTATTGTTTATGGTGCTGTTCTTAACTAGATTTTGAGATATCATTTTCATCTAGAGTTGTATTGATCCATAATATTTTCTCCGTAACTCGTTAGATTGCTTGGTTGAGATTATCCATTCCATATAGGTAGTTCCATCTCTTGCACTCATCCATTCGATGAAGCTGGTTTGTCATTCAAGAAGATTGAGAACAAAAATATGAAGAATTTAGAGTACATTGTGAATTTTTCACATGTTCAACTGTTTCTGTCTTTTCAATGCTCATGTATGAATACTCTTACTGTTACTATTAGAACAAAGTTGTTTGGATACCATTAGTGTGGTGTGCAGATTGACGAACTTACTTGGACCTAGTCCTGGTTTGTCTCTGGATAGCCTTTTTTTCTTTGCTTGCGGTGAAACGACTCGGTTTTAGGTATTCATTCCTTGGTTGTGTGTAACTTTAGATGCGATTTCTCTTTTCCATGTCCGTCTCTCTCAGTTCTCATGTTTAGTGTTTAGAACTTTTACTTTGAATAGTATTTACACGTGGACAGGTCACATTTCCTTAGGAGAACTTTAAGGAAGTGATCACTATTTTCCCATGCTAACTGAACTTTATGAAGTGCTTTCCTTGCGTTAAGGCTTAAAGTGAGTGCTTCGATTTTCAAACTTGTAGTTACAAAGTGACTCTTCCGATATCTATGTATTGGTAATACCATCTTTGTTCCATGACGAGAGATATGAGCATGAAGGTCAGGGCTAATGCGTTTTATGCAATAAAGAAGTTTGAAATTGTTTCCGAGGATCTCCTTCTATAAAGCTTCTCCTAGAGAGTCTTGAGTAGAAGATGAATTCTATCAGGTAACTTATGTTTGTATATATGATTGAAATGTACCCCTATATCTCCAAAATCGTTGTAATCAATCATTCTTGACACGCTTTTCTTTTCTAAATTTAATCTTGTAGTTTCTTCATGTTTTACGCCACGAGGCCTTCGTTGATAATTTTTCCTCTTGCTTGTTTAAGCACCTTACCATTACCATAATGATTCTCAGTATCCTCCTGCAAACGTATTATCTTATTAGATTGCAGTGTTAAATGATTTTAAGTGGACAATCACTGACTTTTTTTTTTTTTCGAGAGAGGTAAAAGACAATTCAGGAAATGAATAGAAGCTTTACAGAATGAAATCCCATCTTGTAAATCAGATATACTTGCCATTGCTTCTCTTAAGACGCCTGCAAGATACATGTGCAGCAGCTCAAAGATGGTGATGCCATAGAATCTATCAAGACTATGGTGCAAGACTTTGAGGTTTGTATTCAATTACTTTGCTGAACTTTTTTTGAGGTCATACACTAAATGAATTGTTCTTTACATATGGTAATGGTAATACTATGAAGCTTTTATTAGAACGTACAAGGTCAGCTGCCTATGCTGATAAAGTCAATGTTCCTTTTTTTTTAAAAAAAAAAGATAAACAATCCAATGCCCTGAAAATTTTGAGCTATTGAAATTTTGTTCTTATCTTAGGTGGAAAGAAAAATTTAGTGTTCGGTGATAAGGCAAAATAACAGAGTAGATAGATCATAGAAGTTTTTGAGCTACCTATGTTCTGCTCTGCCCTTTGGTTGCATTAAATCGTGCCTTTAGTCACTATACTCCAAGTGTATCAAACACTCCTAAATCTTCTTGCAATTCACTTGACTTGGGAAAACTGGTTAAATCTTTCACCCTTTAACCATCTATGCAGAAATTGTTATGGAGATTCGAAGAAAATCAGCAATATCAAGTGTAAGGCATCCGTCTTATATATAGTTCAAATGCTTACTGCTCCTGGAGATACCTTGGACATCCAAAGCTCCGCGTATTAATCATTCTTTTAAAGGTATTTCCTTTTTCCATCTTCAAATATTTTATTCTCGAGAACATAAAAGAAACCTACACGCTTAGTTGTTTTTGTTTCTAAAGGCTTTGCTAACCTTGACAAAGGTCATTTATAAATAGCGTTGACATGAGAGTGCATAACCTTGGCAATAACTGATGCAATAAAGGCAATATGTTCCCAGGTATGTGAATTCGCTATTCCTTGGTAATTTTGGTTGCACTTTTATTATTATTACTCGAACTCATTATAGAAAGAAACATGGAATTAACTAGAGCAATCGCGTCTAATTTTTAGATTTATATATACATATTCATACATACACACGTATATATAAACTTGGACTTTTCTTTGTTTGCTTCCTCAACACAATCTATCGATTTTTTTCAATATAATTTTTTATGCACAATTAATTAAGCAGTTGTTGGCTAGAGGCACTGACAGGATAAATCATTAAAAAGATTGTGTGCTAATAGGTTCATGATTAAATGAGTACAGCACTATCATAATTTTGTTCAATTTCAATTACATGTGGGCTTGCTTAGAACCTTTAGCTAGCTAAGGATGATTCAGTTTGTTTCTATATATGGGCTTTGGAAGATAAATTGAAGTCGTTACCGATATTATACGGGAGAAAACATTTTAGAATGTTTTCATTTCAAACCTCTTAATTTATAATTTAATAATGAAATACACTTTATTTATCATTTTTACCCTAAGCTAAGCATATCTCTCTCACACACAACCTTTTGTCATTTAATTGGGTAAGCATCATTGTCAACGTTATAAATACAATTATTAATTTTTTTTTGTCGAGTTTAAAAAATTACAATATAAATTGTCAGGAGCCTATTTGATAACATTATTTATTATGTACCCAACTCATTTTCATAAAATACTCTGAAACTAAGAATGCAGGGAAAGCATAAATGGAAAGAAACTGAGAAACAGAAGTAAAAACTGAGAATACAGGACAAGCAGTGACTGAGAATACAGGAAGAGCAAAACAGAAACTGAGAATACAGGCAGAGCAAAGCAGAAACTGAGAATAGAGGGAAAACAGAATACAAAAAGAAACTAAGAAACATAAGCAAGAATTAAGAATACAAAAAGACACTGAAGCAGAAACTGAGAATACAGAAAAAGCAAAAACTGAGAATATAGAAAATGCAGTAACTAAAAATACAGAGAAAGCAGGAACTAAGAATACAGATATTGAGAATACAGTGAAAGTAGGAAAAGCAGTAATTAAGAAAGCAGGAACTGAGAATACAGGAAAAGCAAGAAAAGCAGTAAGTAACTGAGAATACTGAAAAAGCAGTAACTGAGAATACAAAAAAAGCAAGAAAAGCAATAAGTAACTGAGAATACAAGAAAAGCAATAAGTAACTGAGAATACAAGAAAAGCAGGAAAAACAGTAACTGAGAATACAGAAAAAGCAAGAAAAGCAATAAGTAACTGAGAATACAGGAAAAGCAATAAGTAACTGAGAATACAGGAAAAGCAATAACTGAGAATACAGAAAAAAACAAGAAAAGCGGCAAGTAACTGAGAATACAGAAAAAGCAAGAAAAGCGGCAAATAACTGAGAATACAGGAAAAGTGGCAAGTAACTGAGAATACAGGAAAAGCAGTAAGTAACTGAGAATACAGGAAAAGCAGGAACTGAGAATATAGGAATAAGAATATAGGAATAAAGGAAAAAGCAGGACTGAGAATACAGGAAGTAAGGAACTGAGAATACAGGAAAAGCAGTAAGGAACTGAGAATACAGGAAGAGCAGTAAGTAACTGAGAATACAGGAAGAGCAGTAAGTAATTGAGAATACACGAAGAGCAATAAGGAACTGAGAATACAGGAAGAGCAGTAAATAAGCAGGAACTGAGAATACAGGAAGAGCAGTAAGCAAGCGGGAATTGAGAATACAGGAAGAGCAGTAAGTAACTGAGAATACAAGAATACAGGAAAAGCAGGAACTGAGAATACAGGAATACAGGAAAAGCTGCAAGTAACTGAGAATACAGGAAAAGCAAGAAAAGCTGCAAGGAACTGAGAATACAGCAAAAACAGGAACTGAGAATACAGGAAAAGCAATAACGGAGAATACAGGAAAAGCAAGAAAAGCAGCTAGTAACTGAGAATACAGGAAAAGCAAGAAAAGCCACAAGTAACTGAGAATATAGAAAAAGCAAGAAATGCAGCAAGTAACTGAGAATACAGGAATTAAAAATACAGAAAATACTTGGAGAATACAGGAAAAGCAATAACGGAGAATACAGGAAAAGCAAGAAAAGCAGCTAGTAACTGAGAATACAGGAATTGAAAATACATAGAATACAAAAAGCAGCAAGGAATTGAAAATACATAGAATACGAAAAGCAGCAAGTAACTAAGAATACAGGAATTAAAAATACAGAGAATACTTAAGTAACTGAGAATACAGGAATTAAAAATACAGAGAATACTTAAGTAACTGAGAATACAGGAGAATACTTAAGTAACTGAGAATACAGGAATTAAAAATACAGAGAATACTTAAGTAACTGAGAATACAGGAATTGAAAATACTGAGAAAGCAGAAAACTGAGTAAACTTAGGAAGAGAAAATACAGAAAAAGAAGAGATAAATAATAACTAGGTATGTACAAAAAGAATGCAAAAATAACTTCAAGTATGTATAATAAAAGAGAATGCAGAAAGCTTCAAGTATGTACGGTAACAAATATGGTAACATAACATAGCAAAAACCCTTAAACTAAACCCTTCCAGTTTAACATAGCACAAAACTTCAAGTATGTACAGCAACAAATATGGTACTATAGTATAACAAAAAACTTCAAGTATGTACAGTAACAAATAACCTAGCAAAAAACTTCAAGTATGTACAGTAACAAATATGGTACCATAACCTAGCAAAAAACTTCAAGTATATACAAACTTCGTATGTACTGTGCAGAAAACTTCAGCTATGTATAAACAATAGATGCATGCCTATGGTAGGGCATATAGTTTTACTAGATAACATATATATTTCTACTATATTTTTTCATAAATAGTCATTTACTATATATATTTAGGCCTACTCCATAACCCAAAATTTTCTACTCAACTGTACGAAATAAAAAAAATAAAAACATTTTCTAAATCACATAGGCTTAACTTTTCAAAATAAAAAATAAAAACAAACATTTTCTAAATCACATTAACTTTTCAAAATAAAAAAAATAAAAACAAACATTTTCTAAATCACATTAACTTTTCAAAATAAAAAATAAAAAACAAAAAACAAACATTTTCTAAATCACATGGGCTTTTAACTTTTCAAAATAAAAAATAAAAATAGTTGTCAAACAATTTTGACTAAACTTTACTAGTCAAATATGTGTGAGATCAATAGTCGGTAACTTACGCCTCCGCCTCTTTTCTATTCAAGAGAAAATCTTCATAGCTATCGAATTTCAGTATTATTTACCAACATACCGTGCAAGTAGAGCTTTTCTTTAGAACCCTCGACGTCTTTTCCTGCCAGCCACACCCTTTAACTCTCAAACCTATGTAGCAAAATAGCAGTAGGGTCTTCCACTTCCATTTATGGCACAGCACATATTCGTTTTTTTAAATAATAATTTAAACATTCTAACCGTATAAAAAATAATAATAATCTATGGTTTAAATATTTTAATACAAAAAATTCTAATTTAAATTCAAACCTCATGGTAAGCAGAGCAATGTACTTTGAAGTATCGCTGTGATTATTTTATAAGAAAATCTGATTTTTCGGAGTTACTGAACGAAGGGATATGGTAGATCGTTAACTTACCGCCACAATTATGCACATGGATTCATTGATGCCTCCAGCTGCTGCATATCAATCCTCGTGTCTTTTTCATGGGTTCCTCAACGATCCACGATTTCGAAGGTGGATGAGATACTCCAACGCTCGAAGCCATGGAATCTCCATCGAATCCCCCAAGACCATAACTACGAAGTACGGTATAGAATATTAAATACGGGCCTGACAAATTTACCAACATGGATGTGAAAATTTATAAACTATGCTTGCAAGTGTAGCATTAATCTATTCATTGTTCAAATATCTTCACTGACCCAATTAGATTTAGCCAATAATTGTATGAGCCTATTATTTATATATTTTAGAAATAGATATTTTAAGAAAATGAAACAGAGACAACTAAAATTTTAAGAATAAATTGTGTACCATCTATTATAAATACCCCTCTACCCTACCGATGTTTTTATCACCCCTAGAAATTCTAGAAATTTTTAGTCTCAAGTAGCAAAGTATAGTAGTATTCTACAGAGTGTCTTGTAATCTCTTCTCGATTGATCTAGTAATCTCTTCTCGATTGATCAAAATAAAGAGTGCAAGTATTTTTCTCTCTTATGTAACAAAGAAAGAAAGAAAAACTTACCACATGCTAGATATTAAACACAAGCTAGTAAACAAAACATGGAAAATGGAGTGCAAGAAATGGCTTACGGTTTCTCGTTGAAGTAACCAAAGAATGGCCTATCCTCATTTTGCATTCATACTAAGGATTTGGGTCCACGAATGTTCTCAGATATCAAATCTGTCAGCAGTTCTGAAAAGGCAGAGATTGGGAGAGATCATGAACACTATTTTTGTACCTTTCAAGCCAACTCAAGTTTGAATGCAAAGGGCAACAAATGAGATCGTTGATTAAATCTCTTATGGATAAGAAAAGAAAAAAAAGATAAGAAGTCCTGATATCTTACTTCAAATAGTCATTGCCATCAAGCCCACCTAAGCACGCCATTGAGCTCCACTGCCGAAACAGCAAATCGCGGAAGAAAATAATCAAGCAGTGAAAAGAAATTGTTGACATCTCATAAAAAAAAGAGAATAAAAAATTGTGAACAGATAAAATGCAACTGCAAAGGTTAAGAAGGTAAGCAGACAAATTGGCCAAAGAATATGTTTTCACTCGGTAGCATTGACCTCGCATGGACTTATATCCGAGGTTAAGTCGAGCATGGCAAATGACCTACCATTAAGCTAGAAAAGAAAACTCCAAGCAAATTTGTTTTTCATAATCAACACTTGGCAGAACTATTTTGCAAAATTAACCGAATGAAACATGTGTTATCTGTTGGATGATGGAAGTCCCACATCGGCTAATTTAGAGAACGATCATGGGTTTATAAGTGAGGAATACTAACTCCATTGGGATAAGGCCTTTTGGGGAAGCCCAAAGCAAAGCCATGAGAGCTTAGGCTCAAAGTGAACAATATCATACCATTGTGGAGAGTCGTGTTCGTCTAACATAGTATCAGAGCCATGCCCTAAACTTAGTCGTGCCAATAGATTGGTAAATCGAACAAAGAACTCCAAACGAAAAGGAGCCAAGCCTCCTCGAAGGCAGTAAAAAATGACTAAGACTCCAAAGGAGTCAAGCCTCAATTAAGGGGAGGCGCACTTTGTTCGAGGGGAGGTGTTGGATGATGGAAGTCCCACATCGGCTAATTTAGGGAATGATCATGGGTTTATAAGTGAGGAATACTAACTCCATTGGGATGAGGCCTTTTGGGGAAGCCCAAAGCAAAGCCATGAGAGCTTAGGCTCAAAGTGGACAATATCATACCATTGTGGAGAGTCGTGTTCGTCTAACATTATCAAAGAGGTGGATAAACTTATTTTTATTTTTTGGAACAAGATAGAAGGTGGATAAAGTTAAAATTAAACATAAGAGACGTGCAGAAATAACCATTTTACCTTTTGTAGCATTGACCTTGTCTAAACCCATAGTCCAAGATCTAAGTCGAGCATTTCAACATCTGAGTAGGATTCAATGCCATTTCTGTTGAGCGCCGAAAGCGGAACAAATGTACTCACAACACCAAAGTTACTCAAGACATACAATATGACACTCAAAACTTAATGATTTCAACAGCAGAAAGAATGGCATTATATAGCCTTCTGCTAAACCTAAAGATAAACTAACAAGCCAAAAAAAGACCTTGAGAATAGGTCTTGGTCCTAGAGAATAGGGCTTATGACAGTGTTCAACAATCTCCACCTTGTCATAAGATCTCCAAGTTGATAGCTAATTTGGTTGCTACCATGTCAACACACTACTCCCTTCCGACGTTGATGACATCTAAACAATGCCAGAACTTTTCACGAGTGATCACCTTTGTCAACATATCAGCAGGGTTATCAGCAGTTCCAATTTTTAATAACCGAATATCCCCTTTGCTAATAATTTCTCGAATAAAGTGAAAACGGACATCAATGTGTTTTGTACGAGCATGATGGACTTGATTTTTTGACAAGCAAATAGCGCTCTGGCTATCACAAAATACATCTATATGTTCCTGCAAAATACCCAAGTCATTGATCAAACCATGCATCCAAATAGCTTCTTTAAAAGCTTCTGTTACTGCCATATACTCTGCTTCAGTGGTAGACAATGCAACAGTAGACTGCAATGTTGAACGCCAACAAACAGGTCCACCAGCCATAGTAAATAAATAACCCGTAGTAGATCGTCGCTTATCCAAATCACCAGCATAATCAGAATCCACATAACCAACTACACGATTGTCAAGATTAAACATTTCTTGTTTTTGAAACTTAATACCAACATCAATAGTGCCAAGAATGTACCTAAGAATCCATTTTACAGCCTGCCAATGCTCTTTACCAGGATTATGCATATAACGACTCACCATGCTTACTGCGTGTGAAAGATCAGGTCGAGTACACACCATAGCATACATCAACGCACCAACAGCATTTGTATAAGGAATGTTCTCCATATACCTTTTGTCATCATCAGAACTTGGACACATGGAAGCACTAAGCTTGAAATGAGGAGCAAGTGGAGTACTAACGGGTTTGGTTGAATTATTCAAACTAAATCTTGACAATACCTTGCGTAGATATTGAGACTGAGTCAACCAGACTGTACCTTTTTTCCGATCTCGCTCTATCTCCATTCCAAGTATTTTCTTTGCATTGCCTAAGTCTTTCATTTCAAATGTTTTAGAAAGCTCATATTTGAGCTTATCAATCTCCATCTGTCTCTTTGAAGCAATTAACATATCATCAACATATAAGAGCAAATAGATAAACGATCCATCATCGAGACACCGATAATACACACAATGGTCAAATTGACTATGAGTATACATATGCTCTACCATGAAATGATCAAACCTTTTATACCATTGGCGAGGGGATTGCTTCAGCCCATACAAAGATTTCTTCAATCTGCATACTAAATGTTGCTGTCCAACTACTTGGAAACCAACTGGTTGCGCCATATATATTTCTTCTTCCAAATCTCCATGCAAAAAAGCAGTTTTTACATCAAGTTGTGCAAGCTCAAGATTAAATTGAGCAACCAAAGCCAACAAAATTCGAATGGAAGAATGTTTTACCACAGGTGAGAAAATTTCATTGTAATCAATACCTTCCTTTTGTGCGTAACCTTTAGCCACAAGTCGAGCCTTATAACGTATACCAGAAGAGTCTTCCTTTTTTGCAAAAACCCATTTACAACCAATTTCCTTCTTACCTTTTGGAAGTTGTACCAAATCCCAAGTTTGATTTATCTCCAATGATGCTATCTCCTGATTCACAGCCTCTTGCCAGTGTAAGCTATCCGGGCTCTGAATAGCATCTTTGTAGCTGTTAGGAACTCCATCAATCAAAGAGAAAGCATATGCTATCGTATCATCAAACCTTGCAGGTTTTCGAATTACCCTTCGTGGTCTATTCTTGGCGATTGACTCAGGTTCCTCCACTCTTTCATTCACAAGGCTTTGCTCCTCAAGACTTTGCTCTTTTTGTTCTAAGACATCAAAGTTATTATTTACCTGATCAATAGGTTCTTCGGTAGGAGCAACCACATCAGGAGAGAACACCACCTTCTCCACCTGCTTCAATGCCTCGTCATTATTTTCAATTTTCTGCAAAAACATTCCAGACTCATCGAATGTCACATCTCGACTATTAACAATTTTACTTGTTTCTGGACACCATAACCTATAGCCCTTCACACTTTTGCTAAAGCCCATAAACTTGGCTTTTTTTGCTCTAGGATCCAGTTTTGAGTTTGTCACATGATAATAAGCAGGACACCCAAACACATGCAATTTATCATAATCACTAACAGGACTACCTGACCATACCTCAAGCGGAGTTCTCCCACCGTTTCCAGAAACAGGTAAACGATTCACCAAGTGAACTGCATAACTGAGAGCCTCAGCCCAAAATGCCTTACTCAATCCTGCTTGAGACAATATGCATCGAACCTTCTCTATTAATGTCTGGTTCATTCTCTCAGCAACTCCATTTTGTTGTGGCTTACCAGGAACAGTGAAGTGTCGAACGATCCCTTCATCTCGGCATACTTTAAGGAATGGATCATAAGTATATTCTCCCCCGTTGTCTGATCTCAGCTTTTTGATTTTCCTATCCGTCTGATTCTCTACCATTTTCTTCCACTCTAAGAAGATTTGGAGAACCTCGTTTTTGTGCCTCATGGGATACATCCAAACTCTCTTCGAGTAGTCATCAATAAAGGTGACAAACCACCTCTTTCCTCCCAATGAGACATTCTTTGTGGGACCCCATACATCGGTGTGAACATAATCCAAAATACCCTTTGTTTGGTGTATAGTTGTACCAAACTTCACATTTTTTTGTTTACCAAATATACAATGTTCACAGAAATCAATTTTTCCAGTTGTGGCACCCTTAAGGACTCCTTGGTTCACCAATGTCTGAAGCGCCTTCTCACCAGCATGCCCGAGTCGCATGTGCCATAATTTCGATATGTCTTGTTCTTTCGAACTTGCCATAGCAGCATGCCCAGTTATTGTGGTTCCGTTGAGGTAGTATATGCTACCTCTTCTAGTTCCTGTAATTGCCAC